GTTTTCTTCAAAATAGCGTTCATACCATCACACATAATAAAATCAAACAAAAAAAATCAGACCAATGAATGAAAGCACTATAAGACTTCAATATAATAAGAAACCATGATTACCATAATATTTCCCGTTATATTCAAAATAGCTGCCTTTACCATCTGAAAGCATAAAGTCTAACAAAAGACAGAACAACCAAACCTAATGAAACTGTGTAAACAATGCAAGGGTGACAGTAGTTTCCATCTTTCCCTCCCTTTACTCTTTTTTTAAACTTTATTTAAAGGAAGACTAAACAAAACAGAAAATGGGTACAAATAATACATACTTTCAAAGAAAGAATAAACAGCAAGAAATCACTAATTGATATTTACATATTTTCCTCTTACAAATACTGATTCAAGATACAAAACTGGAGCATATAAAGTGGGGTTTCAAACTGCGAGACTCCAACCAGTTCTTTTCAACAAAAATTTAGTAATATGGTTATCAATCCTATACACTTATACATGCAGATATCCATATCTTCATTTATGTTGAGATTGGACAAACCCAAGCAGGCTGAAATCACTCTGAGCAAAGAACAATAGTATTGCTGGGTTTCACATTATGATACTCCAGGATCAGCACTGGGTAATGTAGTATTTCTTTTTCTTCAAAGTATTTGTTCATGTCATCCATGTGTCATAAGATCAGTTCTCATAAACTGTTTATTGGTGCTACGCATGCAGGAGTCTTAACATGTATTTCTATTCTTTCTATATTAGAGGGAGGAACAAAACAAAGCAAGACAAAACAAAACACATTCCTGTAAACACCTGAAATGAAAAAGACATATAAGTCCACTGTACAAGGGGTTCTACAATGGTTACTGTGTTGTCTCTTGTTATCTTCAATAGAATTGAAGATATATCATCAGACATAGTATAACTGAATATATCAGTACATAACAATATTAATAAAAACACAATTTTGTATGTAGTATAAAACTTCAAAAACAGGTAGTAATCAAACCAGAATGGGTATCATAGTAAGTCTTGTCATTTTCATTGTAATTGCCTAAATGCTCAGACGATACTATCAATCATATAAGTTTTGAATAAAATCTCTCAATACCAAACAGCAATCAACCAAACCAGATTTAACTAAGATCAGTCATGATAAACCAGTATAAGTCATACAGAGATCCAAGTTAAGTTAATAGGAAATTAAAGATAATTATTGTGCTATATCCAGGTGTTTTGGGGATAGCTGTCTGTGTCCTCAAATCTAATGCAACTAGACAAACTGGGACAGAATAAAATCTATGTAAGCAGAGTGGTGCGAATAATATGGGTTTGATACACTCTTAACAAAATCTCCTGCCATCTTTTTAAGACCATTCCTCCCTTTCACTTCCCTAGGGTGCACTGTGTATTTTTGGATCTCACCTAGACCCTTGGTTTTAAATTGGGGGGGGGGCTGCTATTTACCTAAGTGGTTCTGAGCCTCTTCTCTCCTGGGCTTGATCTCTAATTGTATTCCTTTACCTGTTAAAGCCCGTCCTTCCAACCTATCCATCTAGTTGCCCCTATTCCTCTCTGGTTCTCTGTCACATAGACCATTGTTTTCTCATATTTGATTTTCAGTCCATGTACTCTTTATCATGTTAATTATATTTCCTATAAATAGCATCTTGGTAGACCCTAACTCCTGATCTACTCCATGTGGGGTTCTTTCTTTTTTTAATTTAGTGTATCAAGGCCATTTACATTAGAGATTATAACCAATCTTCTCTGCCTCATTTCTGTTATGCTCTTTTTTTGCCATCAGTTGTCTGCTTATCTTCTTCATTCTATTTTCTGCTCCATTCATTGAGGCCTCTCTGCCACTGTCCCTGGAATCCTGGTACTTTTCTCTCTCTGTAGAATGCCCTACAGTATGCTCTGTAGAGTTGGATTGGTGGTCACAAATTTCCCAAGTTCCTCTTTGTCTTGGAAGGGTCTTGTTTTCCATTAATTTCTAGAAACAGTTTTTCAGGGTACATCAATCTGAGCTGGAGGTTATTTTCTTTCAGGGCTTGGAATATTTGGGTCAAAGCTTCCCAGACCCCCTTTTCCCTTCACTGTTGCACAGTTCACACTCCACTGAAGCCAGTATAGCTACCCTTATTATTCTTACCAAAAAATAGAAGGATTCTTACTTTTTATAGAATGCCTGTATATTCAGCATGTTTCAAGAACCTCACATTTCTACCAACTCTATCAACTGTTTCAATACGTGTCTGGTATTGCTTGCCTTTGGACTTACATGTGAATATTTAAAACAAAAAGATGCCAACAAACAACTGCAGAAGTTTCCTAGAATCTTTCTGTTCTTTATAAAAAAACCTAAGTCTGCTTGTAATTGCTAAAGCAAGTGGAAGGCAATATGTATCTTACATGTCTCTCCCCAGAAAAGAAAGGGAAAGACAGGAAAACAACCACAATGTGATCCCTATGGGCATAGTTTAAACCATGATTGCTAGAAATGTATTTTTGATGTCCATGATTTATTTTATTTTGATGTCTCAAATTTATGTTAATTTTATTAATTATGATTATTTTACACATTTATGGAATTTGGTATGATAATTCAGTAACACATATACGATGTAAATATAATTGTCAAATAATAACCAAACTTAATTTGTAGGTAAAGAGCTAATTTCTTCATCCAGAAATTTTCTGGGTAGCCTGTTGACTGGTATCTAGTTGCATTTCTTTCTTAATAGATGGAACCTCAGCTACTGGTGCTCAGAATTTAACCAATTCTCCTCAACTTTGCCTCACCTGGACATTCTGTACAATATTACAGAAACCTGCCTGAGTGAGGAAAAGTAGGGCTAAGAATCTCACCATCCAGAAAAATGGAATGGATGAATACGTGAAGAAGAGGCAGGGAAGAGGCCAGGGGTGTAGTTCAGGGGCACAGGTGCCTGCCTGGCAAGCACTGGTTTGATCCCTGGTACCAAAAAAATAAAAGAGGCAAGAAAGTTCCTATCAGCTTTCCTAATATTTCCTGCACAACGATACTCAAAATATGTGAGCAGATGTAAATATGTAAAGGCATATTTCTTACTTACAGCTCTCGAGTTGGGTGCAGAAGTATGCTCCATGTTTTGGGTTGGGCTCAAGTCTAGGTTTTGTCTCCTTTCATGATGAATTTGAAGGAGCAATTCCTACATGATGTTTGTATTCCTCATTGTGGGGTAGAAATCATATCCAATACAACTGATGAGAACATGAAAGGCATTTAAAAAGTCTAGCCCTTCCACAGTTTGTGCAGTAAGTCATGTGGTTATTAATTGAATTGGAGCACTACATGAGATCAAAGCAAAAACTGTCACTATAGGTGGATAATCAAGTCTACTAGATGAGGTATTTGTCCTACCCAGCAACAGACATAGTTAATAGTGAACTATTGTGTGTCTTGGAGCATCAAGCATCCTAGCAACTGATAAAGATAGTCATAGCCTTGCTTATATTAAGTGCATAGTAATGTCCTAAAGGCCAAAGTGTCACACATGTATCTTTAGCATTATTTGGATAAACAAAATAAATACAAGACTAGGGCAGTGGATGAAGGGCTAAATGAGATGGGCTTAGGATCAAGATAGCTAAACTACTATGACTGAATCAGGAGAATTAAAGCACACAGCAATAATGTGCTGATTCTAACAGTGTTCAGTGTTGGGGCTCTGCACTAATGATCCAGGTAAGAAGCACTACAGAGCCATCTGAGAGCCAGTCACTGACACTGTCGCACTTTATGAAGGAAGAACAGACAGCGATTCACCCAAAAATTAAGCAACAAAGGCCTGCACTAAAGAAAAATCTTTCTCTTATGGAGGTAAATTGGCTCTCATAATTGTCATAGCCAGAGGAGTTAATTTCTCAGTATTAAAAATTTAAATTATTTTCAAGAAGCATTTTTTGACCATACTTAGTTAAAAGAGTGAATGCTGAATCCTCCAGGCTCTCTTTGCCTTTTTGCAAAAATTGTTATTTTTATTTTTCAATCCCCTAGTTAGGTGGAAATAGCAGAGTCTAAGGAAAACAAGGTATTCTCAGGTCAGACCTGCAGTATCAGCTTACTCAGATCTCAAGTCCAGGGACTAAGACAGAGTATCCCAGTGCCTACCCTGGTAAGTATGTATGTAAAACACATGTGGAATTGAAGTTCCATGACACAGAACTTTTTAACACTTTAAATGAAGTTAGTTCTTGAACCTCCGTTGCCTCTTGGGTAGAAAAGTTGTTCCAAAAAAAGTTAAACGTGATTATTTTGGTTTCTGTGCAGGCTGTGTCCCTTATTTAAAATGCTTTTCTCGGGGCTGGGGATTTAGCTCAGCGGCATAAGCTCCTGCCTTGCAAGCAGGCGGTTGTGAGTTCGATCCCTGGTACCGATAAAAAAACCGAAAAAGCAAAAATAAATAAATAAAATAAAATGCTTTCCTCAAACTTTCTCTACAGTTCTCACTCTTGGGAGGATAAGAACACTGACTGAAAGAAGAGAATAAAGAGCTGCTAGCAGAAGAAATAGGAGATTGAAAAAATAAAAATAACACTAGCTGCACAAAGGCTGAAATATCCAGGACTGGAGGTTCCAGCGTTGGCTCCTTAGTCAAAACAGGTTCATATCAGGCCACAGCTGCAGGTCTCCTCCAGGAGACACAGGAAACAGAGGAAGTGGGATTGCTGAAAACAGAGGAAGTGGGATTGCTGAGCTTGGAGTCACTTGCCACTGCACAGAGAGGTAGCCTGGGCTGGATCTGCGCTGTGATGATGTCACCCCAGTGCTCCTCCTGATTGGGAAATGTGATGAGTTGTCTGCTTCCAGGAGGCTTCAAGGAAATGGCAGCATAAGAATAAGAATACGAATAAAAATGAGATAAGAAGCTGGTTCTGTTACAGTGGTCACTCCTCGAAAGCACCGGGGACAGAGTGGTGGATACTCATGTCTTGTGTGAAACCTTGCTTTCTCCCCTAAAGTGGCATTTATAGTCACCTCTTCTCTGCCCACCTCACATACCAAGTCCTTCAGCTTGGATTTTTGAGAGGACTTTGATTTTCAAGGAATGAAAAGAAAGAAATGTCACTCCAAAAGAACTCATTCCCCTTTTATATGGTACTGAAGAGACTACGAATTGGCACATTCAGCAGTAAAACCTGTGTCAGGTCGCAAGGTTAAGGGTTCTTGGATTTAAAACGTAGCGCGCCTGACAAATGTGGGGAAGGGAGCTCTGTGAGCGTGCTCCGAAGACTGCGGGCTTCCTCCTGCCTTCGGGGCTCAAGCCGGCCTCCAGGGGGCCCAGCCAGCACTGCCAGCGGCCGGGGTCCTTCCCGACCGACCGGCGCGGGGAGGGGGCGCTGCCGCCACAGCTCCTCGGGAAGTCGGCGGGCCTGGCTCCCGGGAACCTGGGCAGGGGATTGTGGAAGAGCTGGCTCAGCCGAAGAAGAAGAATCAGCAACTTCAGAAATCACTTAGGAAGATCGGCTCCTCCCGCCTCATCTCACCATCTGCTTTTCTGCTTACTTGGAACAAGGCAAAAACCGCCAACAGTCACTCGAAAAGTTACATGGTTTCGATTTCGATTTTATCTCAGCCCGACTTAGCTGGCGATCCTATCCGGGCTGTTTCAGAACTGAGTCCTGCGGGGCCAGACTGAGCGGCGGTGAGCGCGGCTCAGAGCTCACCCTCCTCGGGGCAGCAGCGCCAACGCCAGGTGAGTCCGCGCCGCCCTCTCCCGGCCGTCAGCTGCAGACGGGGAGCTGGGGTTGCAGGCTGCCGGGGCGAGTCTGACCGCCTTGGGAGGGCACCGTGCAGGGAGGCCGGGCAGTGTCCAGAGGCGGCTGCAGAGGGACCGCAGCGCCCGCGTCTGCACGGTGCGCTGCTCCTCCCCGGCGCGCACCCGGGCTGCTGTAAAGAGCCCTGCCGAGGACAGGGAGCTCAGCATACCCTCTTCTGGGGACACGGGAGGAGGAGGAGGAATGGGGACTCAACCTCACCGCCCTCCTTGTGGAGGCGCTGTTTTGGGTCACTGCTTCCAATCCTCCTCTTGGTGAGTTCAGCGATTTCCTGACCAGTTCCCTAAATCTGTCTTCATCAGTATCGATGAGAATTACGTTTCGTTCTTATGGAGACTTTTCCTGACCGTCCTAAATATAAAGTCAACTTCTAATGTCTTTATCCCCAGACCCTGTTCATCATCTGAGAATTTACCATTACCTTGCAGGAGATACACACACCCACACACACATAGTACTATATGTGTATGTACCACAGTATACAGTTTATTTGCTTTTATTGTCTCTTTCCTTCACTAGAATCAACCCATTTTGTTCACTCCTTGAGGACGTTCACCTAGAACATTGAGCATCACACACCACACTCGATATATACTCCCTGAAGGAATGAGAGACCAAATTCTAGGATGTCTGCAACCTTTCCTAACCATTCTTCATCTCTAGCATGTCGCATTCTGCCTTTACCCCCAAATAGCAGCATTTTTAAGCTTCTGTCATCAATGCTTTATTTACTTTTCTCATTCTATTCACAAAGTGTGGGTAGTGCTTTTGTGGAGTTTTTATAGGAATCATAAGATAATGAGCAAACAGCATTCTGTATCAGGCCTGGACATGCTAGACTTTTTTTTTTTTTTCTTTAGAAACATCCAAAGCATAGAAAATTGATATACCCTTTCCACAAGCAGAAAATTGACATGTGTGTACCTTGAATAACCATCAGAGATGACTTCAAGATCTTGTACTCCAAAGAGGGCTTTTCTGAGTTGCAGGTTAGCATGGCATCAGACTCTATCATGAAGGGGCCCATTTGTCTAGTGAAAAATGAGAAAGAGCAGCTGGCCGTGAATTCCAAAGCCATCAGGATTCTTGACAAGATATCCCAACCAGTGGTGGTGGTGGCCATTGTAGGCTTGTATCGCACCGGAAAATCTTACCTCATGAATCGTCTTGCTGGCCAGAATCATGGTAAGTGTGATCACCAGACAGAGGTCATTTGACATTTAGAACAAACTGGCTACACTTCCTAGCATCATCTGAAGGAAGAGTTTAATTTTTCACACCGAAGCAAATTTCTAATTCTTACCATCACATTTATGACCTGAAAATTATCCACAAATGTCACTCTTTTGTTTGATAATGGTTTCAAACCTTACTGAAGGTTCGGCTGTACCATTCTGCCTAGGCCTGTCCACTCTTACTAGGGCGTCGCTCCGGCAGTTACTTCCTTTCTTTCTCCTGCATCTTTTACATCCTTTGCCCAAGTGACCTGTTCATTTCAAGTAGCATGCAAATACAGATTAATGCGTTCTTTAAAAAAATAAGAGAGGTAAAGGAATGTGCAACAGGTTCCCAGTTATCTGATGCTCAAATTGGGCTGTTACTCAGATTTCTTGTTCTCTATTTCATAGCAAATTTTCTCTTTTTCAATTTAGTCTTTTGTAACATGCAAACTATAACATGTTAAGTATAATAGCATATGTGTACAATAAAGCTAATAAAGCGAATAACTATATAATCAAGAAATAAACCTTTGTAACACCCAAAATATCAAGTCATTTCCTCTCACACTCACTAAAGCTCATCAATATTTTGGTTATTAGAGCACACTTCTTTTTTCTTTAAATAGTCCTATATTCTATTATCCATTCAAAAACCAGCTTAAATTTGGTCTCTTGAATTTTATTTTTTGTGTGTTTTGGGGATGTTTTGTTTCTTTTGTTTGACAAGAAGCATATAATCTTTGTCTAGTTCTCACATGTATCTGTAACTGTCAAAATTTTCACCACTTCATAGTATGCTATTTCCTAAAGGTACGATGATTTACCTATCTACTTGTTATTGATGAACATTGGTGCTGTTTCTAGTTTTTAATCTTTAATGATTATGTTGTCATGAATATTCTTGCATTTATATTCTGGTGCACATATACAAAACTTTCTCTTGTACAAATACGTCTAGAAATAGAATTTCTGAATCAGAGATTAGGTAAATCTTCAGTCTTTCTGAAGGCTGAATAATATGAAACAGTTTATCAAACTTGATATGCAATTTACTGTATATTTTACTCTATCAGTAATTGCGGATTGCACAAATTAGTAACATAAAACGAATTTTTAACTTTTGCTGATGTATACCATATAGTTGTATGTTATTTATTCTACTATAAATAAGTTTGAGTACTTTGAGATTTGAATTTCCCATTTTGTATACTATTTTCTTTTTCCTACCAAGTTTTTCTCTTTTCATTGCTGCTTTAGGAGGACCTTTGGTGGTTCAGTCTTTAAAGACTATGCAGCCATTTTTTCCTTCATTTCTTACTTTCTGTCTGGCTCGGTATCTCAACACTACTAGGTGCTGAAATCCAGTCTACTAAACTGAAGACCCTGAGAATCCCCTTCCCAGTTCTGTGCTTACTCTGTCACTCTCTTCCTCCTTTCTGTTTTTGATTGTCTTTCTCTATCCATTTCCTTCTCTTTTTCTTTTCTTTTTTTTTTTTTCACTTTCCATTCTTCACTGGCTCCTAAATGAAGCATTTTCTCTTTTACCTTTCTTTTGGGAGAATTATTGACCATCAATCAAGGGAAGACATTTTACCTTTCCTGTATCACATAAATTCAAAGCTCATTTTTTAAAAGGATGAGAGTTGAGACCTCTCAGACAGTCATGTTAGAAAGGAAATTCAAGGGCATGTACCAAAAAAACCATATTTTTCCTACTCAAAGTAACAAAGAAATAATTTCCCAGTACTTGGCTAATGGAAGGCTGTGGTCCCAAAATGCTTTAACCACTCTACTATCCTCTTATGTCATAGCAAAACAGAAAGAAAGAGACTCCCAGTTACAGTTCATGAGCAGGAGCAGGAGCCACATTCTCTCTGAGGTTAACTCACTTTACTTTGTTACCTCTCAGGTTACTGAGAGGTAAAGATTTGCCATCATACCTTACCATTTTTACAGCTGGGACCACTGGCACTTGGGCATATATAGGAGGTTAATCAGTAAACAATATGATACCAACGGAATGTAGCAAAGTTCAGATCCGATGCCCTCTCCATGAGGAGATCAAACAGGGTGTAAAACATTAAGGCCTGAGGGAAGCAATCGTCTAGGGATTTTATCACATTGAGTTCTGTTCATGGAAGTAAGGAAGCACTGCTCTATGGCAGGTGGTCTAAACCCTGACTGTTGCATAAATTATCATGGGTTCCTAGGAGCAAGTCTCACATCTTTTCCACTGTTAGCTTATGTCTGTGGAAAGAAAGGCCTACAGGTGTCATAGGTCTTTCTTGATTCTCCTTTACTTCTACCCCCTTATCCATGAGGCAACAGACACAAAGCTCATCAACTGCTTGGAAAGAAGAAACCAAAAGAGTAAGATAAAGAGAAAGGGGCAGAGAAAAAGCAACAAAAGCTAATATATTAGTTCAGGACACAGATGATTCACTGTGTCAGCTTTCTATTGCTATAAGACATGCTCGAGGTAAATCCACTTATAAAGAAAGGATTATTTTGACTCATAGTTTTGATGATTTCGGGCCATGTGTGACTGGGCTCTGTGCTTCTGAGCTTGTGGTGCACAGTACACTATCATTGCAGTACATGGCAGAGCAAAACTGCTTATCTAATGGAAATTCAAGGAGAAAAAGAAGAGGAAGAGAGCAGGATACCAAGGTATCCTTAAGACCTCCCACTAGTTCTTGCTTCTTGAAGTTTCTGCCACCTCCCAGTAGCACCAAGCCTTTAACATATGGGTCTTAGGGAAGCACTCCAGATCCACACTATAGTACATGCAGTGTAACTGAGTAGCACTGATCAGAGCAACCCTTTATGAGAGCATAGGGAAGGTAAAGGGAACTAATGAAGGGTAACAAGATCCCCAGTGGGTAAAGTAGCAATGGCCAGATGGGTATCACCGTTCGTCACTCAGTCTCTGACGAGGTTAGCAATGGATGGATGCCAGGATGTGGCAAAGGGCAGAACTATTGGATGGCACTAGTCAAAGGAACTGTGACCTATGGAAGAAGACCAGGAACATACCCTGAGGCACTGTCGCCCTGGAGAGTGGCAGCTGGAGGAGGAACAGGTGATACCTCTGGTCTCCTGCTGCTGCATCCTATTGGTTGAACTCTACTAGAATCTAGAGGACAGGAAAGCTGTTCAAGGTCAAATAAAATACACAACCGAGTTCACACTACCTCTGTAAGGTGACACAGCTTGAGCATTAGAGAGAACCAGTGAACAGGACACAGAATGTTTCTAGATAAAGTCCTTAATGCACCCCTATAGACAAGATTGGCTATTGTTACTGAAATAGCCTAGCACTCACATTCCTATAAGTTTAAGCAATGTAACCCCTGTGAGCTCGTTCTCTGTGCTGTTACTGTTGTTTCTCCTCTTCCTTTTAGGATTTGCTCTGGGCTCCACAGTGCAATCTAAAACCAAGGGCATCTGGATGTGGTGTGTGCCCCACCCCACCAAGCCAAACCACACACTGATCCTTCTAGATACTGAAGGCCTGGGTGATGTGGAAAAGGTAAGCCAGAGAATCCCCTCAGTTCTACTTGTGTGATGTATCACTCAAAACTGAAAATCCAGCTATAAATGTGAGACTAGATTCTATATCCCCAAATACTTTTGTATATTAAGGCTAGTTCTTATTTTTCGTACTGGGAAGAATGATTTAATTTAACCAATGTGTATTGAATGAATGAATTTCAGGGCTCTGTGTTAAGTTCAACAGATATAACAATAAATGAAATAAAGTCTTCAAGCCTGGTTGGCAAATCAAGAAATAACGCAAAAAGTGGGAAATTGGTGCAGTCTTTAGAGTTAGGATAAGTTCCCAGGGGAGATGATAACCCATGGAATTAATGAGATCTATTAATTAAGGTCTGAGAATTTAATGGAGTTGATAATAGGGACCATGAAAACAGAGGCTTGAGTGGTGATGAAAACTGCTAAATCCCAGCATTCAGTAAGGTGAAGCAGTATTATAGCTTCCAGGCCTGCATAGACTACATAAGAATACCTTGTCTCAAAAAAAAAAAAAAAAAAATAGAGCAAGGGAGAGAAAGAAAGGAAGGAAGGAAAAGAAAGGAAGGAAGGAAGGAAGGAAGGAAGGAAGGAAGGAAAGCAGGCAGGAAGGGAGAAAGAAAGAAAGAAAAAAAGAAAGAAAGAAAGAAAGAGAGAGAAAGAAAAAGAAGAAAGGGAAAGAGAACAAGAAGGAGAGAAAGAGCAGCTGCAGGGAATCCCGCCCAGCCTGGGGGAACCTTCTTCCTGGCCTGGTTACTAGGCCGGTCCCTGCCAGACGAGCAAGTGGAGCAGTGGCAGCTGGGAATTGCACCTAGCCTGAGGGAACTCTCTTTCTGGCCTGAGGACGAAGCTGGTTCCCTGCCCTACTGGTGAGTGGAGCAGCAGCAACTGGGAATCCCGCCCAGCCTGAGGGAACTCTCTTCCTGGCCTGGGGACCAAGCCCTGATTCCCTGCGGGGTCCAGTGAGTGGGGCCACCGCAGGGAACCCCATCCTAGACTGGCAGAATTCTCTCCCACACCTGGAACAACACTTGAAGCTCCAAAATACAGGAAGATGACAAAACAAAAGACCAAAATGCAATCTCAAACATCCAGCCCATCCCAAGAAAGTCTAGGAGCCATGTGCATAGAAGAAAACACATGCCACATAACTGAAATACCTGAAATAATAGTAACTGAAATAAAGAAGCAACTCTGGGAAGCCTTAAAGGAATTCAGACTAGAAATAGTCTCTAAGGTAAAAGAAGAAATGATAAAACAAATAAAGCAGATGCTAAACATAGCCAAAGAAGATGCGGTTAAAAAATTGGAGGAACTAAACAAAAAGATAGAATCCCTGGATGAACAATATAAGAAACAAACAGAATACATAAAACAGATGTAAACAGATATACAGGAAATCAAAAATTCCATTGAAAGTTGTAAAAACTGCCTCAATGAATGTGAAGATAGAATCTCAGACCTTGAAGACAAGATTGTAGCCAGTGAACAGGAAAGAAAAGATCTTTTAAAAATAACAAGAAATCAGGAAATAATTCAACACCTGCAAGATGACGCAATGAGAAACAACATAAGATTAATAGGCATAAATGAAAAAGAAGAGGACAACATAAAGAATGTAAGAGGATATTTATAGAAGTAATAGCTGAAAATTTCCCAAACACAAGATTGGAAACTGATATCAAGATCAATGAAGCATGTAGAACTCCAAATAGCCATAACCAAAATAAATCTACACCCAGACATATAATAATGACCATCCCAGAAATCGAACAAAAGAATAGAATATTAAAGGCTGTCAGAGAGAAAAGACAGATGACCTATAAAGGAAAACACAGAATCACAGCAGACTTCTCAGCACAAAAAATAAAGTCAAGAAGAGCATGGAGTGAAGTATTTCAGATCCTAAAGGAAAATGATTTCCAACCTAGGCTGATGTACCCTGCAAAACTGTCCTTCAAAATTGATGGAGAAATAAGATACTTCCATGACAAAGATCAGCTGAAAAGCTTCATGATCACCCAGCCAACCCTGCAAAGAATACTGAAAGACAGCCTAGCTACATTTAGGAAAAAACCACTAAACAAAGCAGACAAACAAAGCAGAAAGATAAACATGCTACAGCAGGATAACATGTCAACAATAAATCAATATATAACAGTTCTAACTATTAATGTAAATGGTATCAATACACCAATAAAAAGAAACAAACTGGCAGAATGGATCAAGAAACAAAATCCAACCATATGCTGTCTACAAGAAACCCATCTAAACCAAAAGGATACTCACAGACTGAAAGTCAAAGGATGGAAAACAATACTCCATGCAACAAGAACCCAAATAAAAGCAGGGGTAGCTATTCTGCTTGCAGACAAAGTGCACTTCAAGCCAATAATGATCAAAAGGGATAAAGAAGGTCACTACATACTGGTTAAGGGAAAACTCCAGGAGGAAGAGATAACTATCTTAAATATATATGCACCAAACTCCAGAGCTCCCAGTTATATAAAACAAGTACTAACAGAAATGGAAAACCAAATCAGCAGTAACACAATTCTAACAGGAGATCTTAACACACCATTGACACCAATGGACAGATCAACCAGACAGAAAATCAACAAAGAAATAAAAGAACTGAATCACACCTGTGAACAAATGGACTTAGTAGACATATACAGAGTACTCCACCCAAAAACAACAGAATACACATTCTTCTCAGCAGTACATGGTACATTCTCTAAAATAGACTATATATTAACTCACAGAATATATTTAAATAAATGCAGAAGAGTTAAAATTATCCCTTGCATGCTATCGGACCATAGTGCTACGAAATTAGAAATTAACGATAAAAAGTACTACAAAAATCCCACAAATACATGGAAACTGAATAACACACTCTTGAGTAATCAGCGGATCACAGACGAAATTAAAGAAGAAATTAAGCAATACCTACAAGAAAATGAAAATACAGATACAACTTACTGAATCTGTGGGATGTGATGAAAGCCGTCCTCAGAGGAAAATTTATTGCACTGAGTTCCCACATCAGGAAAATAGAACAAATACAAATAAACAACCTGATGCTACACCTCAAATAGCTAGAAAAAGAAGAGCAAGTCAAGCCCAAAGCCAAAAGAAGAGAGGAAATTATAAAAATCAGAGCAGGAGTCAATGCAATAGAGACTAAGAAAACAATCCAAAGAATCAATGAATCAAAAATTTGATTCTTTTAAAGAACCAATAAAATCGATAAGCCCCTAGCCAACCTTATTTTAAAAAGGGAAGAAAAAGCTCAAATTCATGCAATAAGAAATGAAAAAGGTGAAATCACTACAGACTCTATAGAAATACAGAAGATCATCAACACCTATTTCGAAAACCTCTACTCTCAAATGTTTGATAACACAGAAGAAATAGACAGATTCTTAGAAACATATGAAGTACCAAAGCTAGATCAAGAGGATGTAAAACTGCTGAATAACCCAATCTCTATCAATGAAACTGAACATGTAATTAATTCCTTACCTACAAAGAAAAGCCCAGGCCCAGATGGATTCACTACAGAATTCTACAAGAAATACAAAGAAGACCGAATGCTTACACGCCTCAAACTTTTCAATGAAATTGAAAGGGAAGAAATCCTTCCTAAATAGTTCCCAGAAGCAAATATTACTCTAATACCAAAACCTGAGAAAGACCCAACTGAAAAAGAGAACTACAGACCAATCTCGCTAATGAACACAGATGCAAAAATCCTCAATAAAATATTGGCAAATAGGATGCAGCAAATCATCAAGAAGATTATACACCATGACCAAGTGGGATTCATGCCAGGCATGCAGGGATGGTTCAACATATGTAAATCAATAAATGTCATCCACCATATCAGTAGAGCCAAAAGTAAGAATCACATGATCATTTCTATAGATGCAGAAAAAGCCTTTGATAAGGTTCAACATTCATTCATGATAAGAACCTTACAGAAAACTGGAATAGATGGTCTTTACCTCAGTATAACAAAGGCCATCTATGACAAACCTACAACCAGTATCATACTAAATGGCCAAAAATTGAAAGCCTTTACTTTAAAATCAGGCACAAAACAAGGATGTCCTTTATCACCACTCCTATTTAATATAGTACTGGAAGTACTAGCCAGAGCAATTAGACAAGAGAGAAAAATAAAAGGGGTAAAGATAGGAAAAAAAGAAGTTAAATTGTCATTGTTTGCAGATGACATGATACTCTACATAGAAGACCCCCTAAACTCCATTGAAAGACTCTTAGATATAATAAATAAATTCAGTAATGTAGCTGGATACAAAAATCAATACTCAGAAATCAATAGCATTCCTATACACTAACACAAAATCACAGAGAGAGAAATAAGAGAAGCCACACTCTTCACACTAGCAAACAAAAAAATGAAATATCTAGGAATTACTCCTATGAAAGAAGTGAAAGACCTATACAGGGAATATTATAATACACTGAAAGAAAAAATTGAAGATGATCTCAGAAAATGGAAAGACACTCCATGCTCATGGATAGAAAGAACAAACATTGTGAAAATGGCCATTCTCCCAAAACTGCTATACAGATTCAATGCAATCCCAATAAAAATACCATCTAGATACCTTATAAGTCTAGAGAAATCACTCTTAAAATTCATCTGGAATCAGAAGAGACCTAGAATAATAAAGGCAATTCTAAGCAGCAAAGGCAAGGCAGGAGGTATCACAATCCCTGACTTGAAGTTATACTACAAAGCAACTGTAGTAAAATCAACATGGTACTGGACTCAACACAGAGCTGAAGATCAATGGAATAGATTAGAAGACACAACCACAACTACAAACACAATCAATCACCTTATCTTTGATAAAGGAGCCAAGCAGGTTCACTGGAAGAACGACAGTCTCTTTAATAAATGGTTTTGGAAAAACTGGCTCTCCATTTGCCGAAAACTAAAACTAGACCCAAGCCTATCACCATGTACTAAATTAAAATCTAAATGGATCAAAGATATGAATATTAAAACAGAAACACTAAATCTATTGGAAGACAAATTAGGTAGAAACCTTGAAGACATAGGGGTAGGTAGAGAATTCATGAACAGGACTCAAACTGCACGGGAAATACTTCCCAGAATCAATAACTGGGACCACCTCTTATTAAAAAGTTTCTTCAAAAAAAATCTCCAGCATAGTGAAAAAAAAACCCACAAACTGGGAAAAGATCTTAGTGAACTCTCCTTCAGATGAGGGACTTTTGTCTATAACATATAAAGAATTAAAAAAAACTCAGACCCCCAAAATTCAAAGACCCAATCCAAAAATGGGCATCTGAGATGAATACACACTTCTCAGATGAAGAAATACAAATGGCAAATAAATACATGAAAAAATGTTCATCATCATTGGTCATTAGGGAAATGCAAATTAAAACCACTCCGAGATTCCATCTCACTCCTGAAAGAATGGCTAGGATCAAGAAAACCAACAACAACAAGTGCTGGAGAGGCTGTGGGGAAAAAAGAACTCTCCTACACTGTTGGTGGGAGTGTAGACTCGTACAACCTTTGTGGAGGTTAGTCTGGAGATTTCTCAAAAAACTGGGATTGGAAGTCCCATTTGTTCCAGCTATTCCACTTCTAGGCATATTCCCAGAGGAACTTAAAGCATCATACCACAGTGATATATGCACACCTATGTTTATAGCAGCACAATTTGTAATCACCAGATCTTGGAAACAACCCAAGTGTCCATCAACTGAGGAATAGATAAAAAAAGTTGTGGTATTTCTATACAATGGAGTACTACTCAGCTATAAAGATGGATCACACTGAGATATTTATCAATAAATGGGCGCAGCTTGATACCACACTCCTAAGTGAAATAAATCAAACTCTCCTCTGTGAACACCAAATAGTTTCCCTAGTGCCTACAAATATGATTCAAATATGTAAAAGTATGTGGTAACCATGATTCCCCATTATGTGGCCTTGAAGCCTTATAAAGTTTTCACTCATTAATTGGAATGGCTTTATTCTGGGCTGTTCGATATTATGGCCTGTGATGCAATGAACAGCTATTTTGAAGAAAACAAGACATCATAATAGCTAGTGGTGATTTAATACCATCTTGTTTTAAAGCCCCACCAAACTATGGCTCTTCTGTCTGCATTGGTTTTATCATGTTGTATCTTGCTGGATTTTACCATATGTGGTAGTATAAACAAAAAATTTATAGGCAAAGAGACAATATAGAAACCATTGTTCATTTTTCTGTTAGCTGGTTCTAAATACTCTACAATGCTTTCATCCACTTGAATGGTGTTACACTGTCTTGATATGTTTGATGCTATAGCATATGAAGTTATATTCAAATATTTCAAGGAAAAAGACACTATGCTAACTACTATTAAGTCGGGTTATTTGGTTTGAAGCACTAGGTTGCTGAAACTGTTATGCTTTGCCCTGTATCGTTGTTAAGCCTCTTTTATCTCAATCTCTCCCTTATTCATTAAAAATGATTTAATTTTTTTCTTTTTTAAACTAAGGGGGAAAAAAACTAGCAGGATATATTATAGTAACCTTCTTGATTTCCCAATAACTTGATTTGAAGCCCTGTAATACTCCCACTATCTTGTTTTGACTGATTACACTCTGTTCCACTCTGTATGATAGAATTAAGTATCAGAGTATAGGCAACTACTTTGAAGGCAATAAGATTCACTTGATGCCCTTTCTGGTTTGACTATTGTCCTCTTTTGAAGTTCTGTAAGGTTTACAATGTTTAGGTTTTATTGGACTTGTTCTCTACTGTTTTGTTCAACTTTATAGTACCTAATGGGATGGACAATTTTTCTTAAGGAAGCAAGAGGCATTATGGTAACCATTGTTGATAACCTTGTACTGTTTTTACATCATGTGCTATGTCTATCCTTGGTTTTGACTGACAGCTTTGTTTTATCATGTTTGATTTTATTCTCTTACAAAAAAAGTAATAAGATCTATGGGAGCAATAAAACCCAAAATGTGTAAATTTTGTTGTAATAAAGAGTGGGGAAAAAAAGTGCCCAAAAGGATACAACAGCAAGTGTGTTTAGGTGTGTTAAATAGATGACCATATTAATATTTTTGATTGGATCATTGAACACAACTATTTGCAATCTCACTATTTGAATGTTCACTTTGTATGCTTTGATCCTGTGACCTGAATCACCGTTTGAAAGATGATAGTGTGTAATCTATTAACTGGTGATATCTTACTGTTTTTTTTTCTTTTTGTAGTTCTGTATTACTTGTACCCTTACACTGTTTTGTTCTGTTCTGTTTTTTTCTCTTTTTCCTTTTAAATAAAAAAAAACTTAAAATGCAAAAAAAAAAAAAAAGAGAAAAAGAAGAGGAAGAAGGAGAAAAAACACAATTATGATTGAATCTGCTTAAATAATCTATATAATCTTCAAAAAAGTTTAGTTTCAACATTAAAGATTTGGTCCATGTCTCTGAGCTCTAGAGATAAGTGCTTTCCTTATAAGAAGCATGTGATAGACCCATGAAAAATATTGCATATTTAATAATTTAGAGTACTTTGACAATATTGGTTGCAATCAATCTTTTCTCATACTTTCCATTATTGAGTCTAAACTGAAAGTAGCTATGAATCATTGGCTTCTATTGTTCAAAAAAACAACAGAAAATACAAGGGAAGAAAACATAGATTTAGAAATTCAGAATATAAAAATTCAAATTTAAAGTTCTCACTTTTCACCTTAGTAGCAAACCAAAGTGTACTGTCAATGTGTAATTGATTGTAATTTGTATAAAACTTTTTCTATAAATCTAATTTCATTTGTTATGAGACCAAGACATACCAAGATTTAAGCAGTTGGCAGCAGAACTACTGACTGTTCATACAGCTTTTCATGTGCTTGAGATAATCCCTGAATACATTTCAAAGCTTTTCATGTCTTGCATAAAGCTTGTTTCCAGCCTCCTTTTCTGATCTGGCAAACATACTTTCTGATTCAGTCAAATAAAATAACTGGTGCCTTTCAAAGTCAGCACTCTTAACAATTCTTACTTGACTTCTGTTAGCTCTTTCACTTTCTGGATTCCTTCATTTCCATAAGTCCATGTTTTATCAACTCTTTATAAAGTTCAGCTACTTTCAACTTACTGCCCTACTTGAAAATGACATAATGGCTGGTATTTTTGGCGGTATTAAAGACTGAGCTCAAGATCTGGCACATGCCTGTCAATGCTCAATTACTGAGCTATATCCCCAGTGCCCAGCATTGTAACTTCTTGCTCTGACTTCACAGAATAATTATTCAGTTATATGCTTTTCCATGCTCATGTATGTTACCTAGTTATATGTTGACATAGTTATGGAAATTTGTATCCACAGAATTAAATTCAGTGTCGAATATTTTGCTAAGTGTCCAAATAAACAGTTTTAAACTTAATTGATTAGCATTTGTATGATTGAGATGAAATTTGTAATAGAGTAATTGCCCATTTATTACTGGACAGCCACTGTGTTCTGAATTCTTCATTACATGGTTTACAGTCATTCAGAATGCTCTTAATTTGTTCTAATAGCTAATAAGCTAATGTTCTGAGAGGGATCAGTGTAAATATGAAAAATGAGGTATGTAGCTAGTATTATCTTCAGAAGTTACTGCTTCTCTTGTACTCAGCAATAGTATAGTTGCAAGATTGAATGAAGAAATGAATGAATGAGTGAGTGATAGCAGATTCTTTACTCCCTGCTATTTGTGCCTTCTAGGGAGACTCTAAGAATGACTCCTGGATCTTCGCCCTGGCCGTGCTTCTGAGCAGCATCTTTGTCTACAACAGCATGGGCACCATCAACCACCAGGCCCTGGAGCAGCTGCAGTATCCTTCTAGGACCTGAGCTGCCATGTGTCACTGGCTTTATGAAAATGGCAACTGAAAATATTTCTTCTCTTCTCCAACTCAGCTGTCATGATTGAGTAAAAGCAGACATAAGATAAATAGAAAGAAATGTTCATAATACTTGTTTCTGAGGGAGATCTGGAAATCGTGGTGCCTCTCCTTCCTTAACTGAGGTCCCAGCTATGTGACTGAATTAACACAGCTGATCAGGGCAAAATCTGGCTCCAGATCTGATGAAATAGAAGACTCCACTGAGTTTGTAAGTTTCTTTCCAGACTTTATTTGGGCTGTTCGAGATTTCACTCTGCAGCTGAAGTTAGATGGATGCCCCATCACAGAAGATGAGTATCTGGAGAATTCCTTGAAGCTGATTCCAGGTATTGGAGTGTGGTTTGGGTGTAGGAAATGTCATTCTGGCTGCAGGGCTAACTAATTCCTGTCACATAGCACTTGACATAAGGTGATTGGTAACTGGTAAGTGGCCATGATTTTAGCACTTAGTTTTACTTAAAAATCTTCAGAGGCTGAGGTTTAAACTAACTAAGGAAATTTAAGGCTCAATGTTATATCAAATAATTTTAAATCAGTCAATACCATGGAAAAAGTGAAGATTATAATTAATAATATCACATTCTTAAACTGATATTTTTACCTACCAAGTTTATCTACTCCTATTCCATTGAGAGAAAAACAGTTCATCAACTTAGAAATTGTCAAGTGTGGAATTAAAAGGAAATCTAATGATCTAGTTAAAAATGTATTTTATTCAGTGCAGTGTATTTTACTAACCTAGATAGTTATATCCTTTAGAAAAAGAATTTTAATATGCTAAATGTTTCTGAAGTAAAAAAAAAAAAAACATGGGCATGTGTTTGTAACAATACTATCCAGTCTTTCATTATACCTTTTTGATAACATCATCTTCTTCATCTTGCAGCCTCATGTAATATATTGTCTTATTTAATAACAAATTTTTTACATGGATTATATTGAGTAGAATGAACAAACAGTAGTACCTAGAATTAATAACAACTTTGTTATTGATTTATTCATTTTTGAACAAACACTTTTTTGAACAGCTGATTTATGCCACAGAATCTCTGTAAGGCAATATGAAGTATATTATTTGATATTGAGAAGCGGTGAAGTCTTCAAGTTACATTTAGATTAATTTTACTTTGGAGTTTTCTGCTAAGCTAATCTCTGAACATAATTGTGGTGTGGGTGTGTGTGTGTGGGTTTGTCTATGTGTCTTTTTGTGTATATTTGTGTTGGCTCTGATTTTGAAATATTTTTTTCTTTTATGGATTTTGTTATTAATTGTCCCCCTAGTATATTACTTTAAAGTCTACATCTCATTTCTGACATAGATCTCAATATCAGAAATGTCTGATAATGTTTTTGATTAGCCAATCATTTCTGAAAAAGTTAAAGGCTTTAATTATATTTCAGTGACATGTGCATACCCATGCTCATAGCATCACTGAATTTATAATAGCTAAATCTTGGAAATAGACTCCCTGTTAATCAACAAATGAGTGGTTAAAGAAAATCTGATATTTACATACAATGGGGTACTACTTTCCCATAAACAAGGACAAACCTAAGGCATCTATATGAAAATGAATGTACTTTGAGTCCACTGTATTAACTGAAATAAATCAGTCACACAAGCTTAAATATCACATGATTTATCTTATAGTGAGAAACCGAATTATAAACAAAGAAAATGTAAAAAAGATCATAGGAAGTAGGAAGATAGATGTTTCTCAGATAGGAAGGGGCTTAAGAGATGATGGGAGTAGGGAGTGTGAAGAAGATTATGGAATGAAAAGAGGAATTAAAATGTGTTGCATATATGTACCAACTCCCAACTGTAAATGTTGTATACTGCTAACATATACTAATAAAAAGAAACAAATAAAAATCAATCCCTTCAAATCTTTCATAAATATAGTCAATCTATGGGTTACCATATAAAGGCTAAGGAAACTGATGATAAGTTTCTCTGTATGAGATAAATGCCTCCTCTTTCTCTCCACAACTCTCAGCTCTGTTCAGAAGCAAATTACCCAGGCACTGGGCGGTTTAGCATAAAGCTGCTCTGAGAGATTGGATGAAGGAAGATTTGCAGATCCAGGATACAGTTATGCAAAGTCTCATTCTACTTGTTTGTAGGCAGTCTTTACAATGAATGATTTTTTTTACAGAAAAAAATCCCAAAATCCAAAATTCCAACTTGCCTAGAGAGTGTATCAGGTATTTCTTCCCTGTACGAAAGTGCTTTGTCTTTGACCGGCCTACGAATGACAAAAACCTATTATTCAACATTGAAGATGTTCCTGAAAGCCAACTGGAATGGAGTTTTCAGGTGCAATCAAAAAATTTCTGCTCCTATATTTTTACCAATGGAAAGACCAAGACCCTGAGACAAGGAATCATTGTCACAGGAAACCGTGAGTTGTCTTTGGTTTGGTTTGATTTGTTTCTTTTTGGTTTGGTTTCACAATCTCAAAGCATATCTCTGCAATTCAGAGTGAGTGATGCAGTTATGATTTACCAATTTGTTTGCTTCTGTAAAGGACTATGGAAAAACCCAACATTTGTGCCATACATAGAATTGCATGTTTCTTAAAGTCTCCCTCTGTGAGTGTTTATTAAGCCCTAACACATCTCAAAAAACCAATACACTAAGAATACAACAAACTATTACTAAGGAGAGACATCTTGAAAATGAGAAGTCCTATAAAATGAAGGTTTCAGATATTTTATGAATTCATATTGATTAGAAAATATATAGCAGGCAAAGAGCCTCATATAAGCTCATTAAGTATTTAAGAAACAAATCTAAGCAGGACTCACTTCATGGAAATATGACCTGTACAACACTGCAGTTCCCATGAGATGGACTCATGTTGGGTTTAATACTCTATGATGCCTTCTTCAAATTTATGATACGCTTTACAAAGGTACTTGCATCTTCATTTGGATTTAGGAATACAAATATGTATTTTCTAATAAGTTCATTTTATTCTATTTCAAAGAGAAAATATTTTTCCAGGAAATCTTAAAGCCTCTTGGTTGCAATCAGTAATTTAATGTATATAAAAGAAAGAGTATGTAGGAAAAGCAGTGATGTCAAAAGAGATTGATTCATACAGAGACAAGAAAGAATTGGAGTTAAAGAAATAAAAGGAAAAGGAAGAGGAAAAGGAAAAGAAAACATTAAGATAGATAGAAGTTGTGACTTTTATAATGACATTCCTTAAAGCTTGCAAAAATAATAAATGAGAACTTTCCATTCATTCCCTAAATATACGTCATTCAGGGTTGGGGACTCTGGTGGAGACCTACGTGAAAGCCATCAACAGTGGGGCAGTGCCTTGCTTGGAGAATGCAGTGACCACTCTGGCCCAGCGTGAGAACACAGCAGCCGTGCAGAAAGCAGCTGACTTCTACAGTGAGCAGATGGCCCAGCGCCTGCAGCTCCCCACAGACTCGCTCCAGGAGCTGCTGGATGATCACGCGGCCTGCGAGAAGGAGGCCATTGCGGTCTTCATGGAGCTCTCCTTCAAGGATGAAAACCAGGAATTCCACAAAAAGCTGGTGGTAATACACCTTAGCATTTATCCTTTCTCAGCCCCACCCTTCTGGAATGAGATTTAGAGTCCACTCTTGATCCCATGGTTGACATCCATCTCATCATAAAAAGAACCTGGATTTTTGTAGCAAACAGGGCTCTTCAGGCTGTGGTGCACCCTAAAGATGGCACTTAATTTCCTTATGCTGCAAAACCAATTATCATGCGCTCATCACAACATCATGCTTCTATAGCTCACAGTTCTCTAGTAGATCTCTGCAGAGGTGGCTGAATGCTCTGCTCCCTGCACAAGCTGAACATCAGGTGTCACATGGGTTTGGTCCTCTTCTAGAGGCTTGCCGGCAGCCCTTTCCATCTCCAGGCAAGCATGGATACCTTGGTTCTTTCTCTTGTTTCTAGACCTTCAGATTTTCTTTTCTGCTTAAGTCACAGGAAACTTTTTTTAAGGACACTTAAGATTAGGTGATACCCACAGGTGCTCTCCATTTCTTGAAGTCTGCTTGTGAGCTATAACATCATGTAATCAGAGATTTAATACCATCCTACTCACAGATCAAGGGGTGCTTCAGGAAGAGAACTCTCCCGAGACATCTTAATACTGCCAACCAGAGGCACCGCCACTGAAAGTTGACTTTCATTCTTTTGGACTTACCTAATAGTAGCAAAAATCTTAGTTTATTGAGGAAATCTGGCTAGATGCAATTTACAATAGTTAACAAATGAAAAATACCTGCTTCTATATCCTCACACACTGGAGCTGTCACTGAGAGATTCATGAAGGATTCAAAATTCTGTTCACAATGCAAGGAAGTCATTTCTGGGGATTTAGTTTGTCAATTACATATTTTCATCCACAGTAATCCACATTCTCTGACTTTTTACTTCTGTCCAGAATTTAACTTTTTTGCTCATTGATAGAATTTGGGTCCTTGTTAGTTATACTATAGCTGAATAAATCATAAAGTTTAAGTCCTCTGACTTGATCATTTTACAACTACTGAGCCTGACTCCAAGATATTTTGCAGAAATCACACAAAATTGACAAGAATTGGAACTGAAACAATTCTCCTGGCTCTTTTCTAGGTGCTAGTCCACTTTCAGGCAGTCAGACTGGTTTTGTATATATATATATATTTTTTTAGTTTTGTTTTGTTTCCTTGGGGTTTTTCCTTTGTTTTATTTTTGTTTTTTGGTAGCATGTTTTTGTTGTTGTTTCTCAAAGATGATCTCATTTGCTTCTTCCTTGTGAGATCTTCTTTGTACTGTGTTTCCCTGCATTTTATTGGCAGAGCACCTTGGAGAGAAAGAAGGAAGATTTCTTGCTGCAAAATGAAAAAGCATCTAGCAAATACTGCCAGGACAAGCTGGAGCAGCTCTCAGCGCCCCTGATGGAAAACATTTCAGAAGGAATTTTCTCTGTTCCTGGAGGTCACAGACTCTACTTAGAAGCAAAAAGTAAGGTTGAAGAGGGCTACAAGCAGGTGCCCAGGAAAGGCGTTAAGGTGAGGAGTAAGGAGGTGGTGTGGGGACAGTCAGCAGGGTAGGGTCAGAAAGTTGCTGCCGCGCCTTCTGAAAATGTAAGACGACAGCACTATTTGTAAAACTTAAGAAGAGCATGGCAATATGTTGAGATTTTTCATTTTTATATCTACTATACATTTGATACTCTTGCATAAACCAGAACTAGTTCTTCCCAAAGAGAATATTAAAATAAGAATTGAGGTCAAACAAATGATGTCACTTTATCAAAAAATGGGTGGATTTCAGGCTAAGTGTAAGAGATGCAATATGAAAACAATTATTTTCTTTTCCATAAGCTGATCTTACATCAGAGGAACAAGATACTATTCAGTTGGCAGTGAGTCTTTAGGTGATTTTGTTGGATTACCAGTTTAGTTCTCAGAATAACACAAACTTGCTACTACTGTCTCCCATGCTTATGCAGCAGAAAAATGTGACCCACAGAGAACCAAATACATTGCCTAAGACTGCACACCAAGCAAATGGTAGAGCTGATGGGGTAACCATTAGAGATTTAGAATTATTCTTTTGCGAATTCCTCATACTGTTGTCCATTGAGGCTGTACAAATTTACATTCTACCAAGGGTTCTACAAAAGTTCCCTTTTCGGCACATCCTCAGACACGTCTGTTATTCCTGGATTTATGTTCAACAAGTGTGAGGTGATATCTCACTGAGGTTCTGATTTGTATTTCAGTGATGACTAGTGATGTTGAACACCTTTACAAATATTTGAATTTCTTCTTTTGAAGTATGTCTGTGTAGGTCTTTTGCCCATTTAAAAAAAAATCAGGTCCTTTGTTATTTCCACTCTTAAGTTGTATAAGTTCCATAGATACTTTGCATACTAACCCCTTATCAGTATGTATGTTTTACAAAGATTTTTCCCATTCTGTATATTGCCTTGATCATTTCCTTTGCTGTGCAGGAACTGTTTAGTTTGATGTCATCCCATTTTTTATTTTTGCTTTCATTACCTAGGCTCTTGGTGTCAAATTCAAAAGTTCATTGCCTAAGTCAATATCATGTTCTTAATTTTTTGTTTTGAGACAGGGTTTCACTATGCAGTTCAGGCTGACCTTGAATTCACTTTCTAGCCCAGGCTTGCCTTGAACTCACAGCTATCCTCCTGCCTCAGCCTCCTGAGTGCTGGGATTACAGGTGTGCGCCACCACACCAGAGGCCAATGTCTATGTCAAAGAGGTTTTCTAGTAGTTTTAGAGTTTTAGGTCTCATGTTTACTTTTATTTTTAATGTAAGGTTTAAGATGAAGGTCAAATTTCATTCTTTCCTGGCTTTCCTGTTCTGTTGGACTATATGTCTTTTTATACCAGTACTATGATGTTTTGGTTACTGTATAAATATGATGAAATATTATTCTGACTTAACAAAGTCCTGTCAATTGTGATGATGTGGATAAGGAGTCTTCATATGGTTTTCCATGGATGATCCTGAAGATATTAGGCTAAGTGAGATAAGACATAGAAAGACACTCAATTTTAGTGACACAAACAAAATTGTGAAGTAAAAATTCTATTGACGTACAGGAGGATAGTGATTACTAGGGATTGGGGAAGGAAATATTGATCAATAGCTATAAACATACATTATTAGATAAAGTAGTTCTGGAAATCTAATTACAGCAGGGTGGCTACAGTTAATCTATTACACACCTGAAACTTAGAAAGTACATCTTAAATGTTATAACAACAACAAAAGGTAACCATATGAGGGGAGGGGTATATAAATTAGCTTGATGATAGTAATCATTTAATAATGTATACATATGAAATCATAATGATATATACCTTAAATGCATAGAGTTATTTTTGTCACTCACCCCTCAACTAACATGGAAAATTTCAAAAGATATCTTAGAAATATTCCTGATCCAGGAGGGAGAAGAAAAAAGGTGTAGTATCTGCAGATATTATATAGTTAGGAAGGCCTAGAACACCATCAAGACACAAGGAAAGGCATATCACAGTGAATATCACAAATGATGGAAGCTATGTGTTTGTAGGGCTGCACATGTATCTGATCAGAGCTGTAATCTGGAGTGGCTGGTGGGCAGAATCACTGAGAGGAGGCTAGAGGGCTGGGAAGGAAGGTGTTATAGACATTTTTCACCAAAGAGCTTGGGCTTTTTGCTGTTCTACAGAAGAAAAGTAATCTCTATGGGCTCCTAAGAAGGAGGGAAAATTTGCGGAGTCATATTTATAGTTGTGTTTAATAATTTTCTCATCATAAGACTAGATCTTTGCCTAAAGTTCCTTCTATTTCTAGCTTTGTTCCTTCTTGGTTCCCAGGCAAATGAGGTTCTCCAGAGCTTCCTGCAGTCTCAGACTACGATAGAAAAATCCATTCTGCAATCTGACAAAGCCCTCACTGACGGGGAGAAAGCCATAGCAGGTATATACAGAGAGGACTCAGATCTCAGGTGGGGCAGATTTGTTGCCAAAAAACCCTCTGGCTAGCTGGGCAGGAAAACCTTCCAGAAACAAGGATCTTCCTATCCTACAGTAGATCTCCTACTCTGATAAATCTGACAATAGTAAGGGGAGTTGGGGTTCACACCCAGTCGATCAGTGCCTTTTCATAACATTCTGAATGCCCACCCTGCTGTCAAGGATAAAGGACCAATTCAGAGACTCTTTCCTTTGGTCATTTTCAAAATCAGTTTGATCGCTGAGCTCAAGAGGTTAGAGCACAGTCCTGACTGTTGTTCCTTCTCTCTCTAAAATCTTTGGGGAGCAGCTGAGAGGGCCAAGAAGGAGGCAGCTGAAAAGGAACAGGAGGTGCTAAGGCAGAAAACTGAGGAGCAGCAGCAAATGATGGAGGCTCAGGAAAGAAGCTTCCAAGAAAACATGGCTCAGCTAAAGGAGAAGATGGAGAAGGAGAGGCAGGACATTCTGAGGGAGCAGGAACGCATGTTGGAGCACAAGTTGAAGGTGAGTCTGGATGAGGCCTGCCAGCGCCTGAGCAAAAAAAATACTGAAAATTTAAGTACAGATGTGATCCCAGTTGTAATTTCCAGGAAAGTCCAAAATGTAACTGTTTAACTAAACCATCAGGTACACCTGACTCCTCCTGAAACCTGTGAACCTATAGGAATTCAGTACCTCTGTAGAGTCAGGCTTTGGAAGGTACAGATAACGTGCCCCAGGGTTCTGGGTGACTGTTGTTGAGGTTATAGGATGGTCTTCGTGTGTTCCATATGAATACAACCTAAGTCCACAAGTTCTAAGGATTCTTTTACAACTACCAAAGAGATCTGAAATAAATGCATTTGGTCTGGATGGGTTAGATTGGTCCTGATATAAGATGGAGGGTGATAATAGTTCAGATGTGCTCCACTGGTTTCAGCATCTGCCTGATTCACTCTGTACAACTAAAATCAAAAGAGACCTTGTCCCATGCTGGCACTTGATGACTGATGTTCCTTACAAAGTCAGAATTCCCCATATTTTGTCAGCTGAACACGACTACTGTGCCTCAGTGAGAATTCAGCTGGCACTCTCTGCCAAAGGGCATTATTTGTGCAGGAACCAAACTCATGCCAATTCCAGTGGGATCACACTGAGGAAATCTCTCATAAACCTTAGACATGCTCAGTGTCAGCATCAAACATCTGAAAATAGCAAAGAATAGTCTAATGTTGAAGAGAAACAGATACATGTGCTTAACCCCTGAAGTTATTAGATACAAAATTCGGACTAATGATTGGTGACTTTCATAAATAAATTCTTCATCTTTTATAGGCCCAAGAAGAACTACTGAGGGACGGTTTTAGAAAGAAATCTGAAGCATTAAATAGAGAGATACACCACCTGAAAGAAGAAATTGAAAAAACTCAAGACAAGAAATCTTTCTTTTCAAAGATTGTTGATACAGTTGGCACTGTTTTAGTAGCAGTGTTACCTGGGGCTGGTAAACTCGTTGGTTTAGGGATGAAAATGCTTAGTTCACAAATGGACTAGTCTGAGAGTTCCTGGACAGGAAGTAATAAAATAAGACTTCTTTAATTTTAATAGCAGTGACTATGGCTCTTTCTTAAAGTCTATGTCAGAGCAGTGTTATTCAAGAAAAAAATTAAAATAGAAAGCAAAGAAATACCAGAACTATTCATAAAAACAAAGGAAATTTTAATTGAATGAATTGATTTAAAGAAGTGGGAAGCATGTTAGAAGACAGTGAAATTATTTCTAAAAAAGACAAGTAAAACAAAAACCAATGGCATAATGAAGAAAACATTAGCAAATTATATTTTAATCATGAAGGTAATTTGATGAGCTTGTCTCAAAACAACAGTTTTTTAAATAGATACATGAGAAAATAGAGATATGAAAAAAGTGGTACAAAGTAAAACTATGATATTCTTGTGTCACCTCTATTTTGGACGAGAAAAACAAATTTGACAGGACTGCAAGCTGGCCAGAGATTAAGTGAAATTGACAGTCTCTGATATTGCTAGTAAAGAGCATGAGTTGTTGCAGTTATACATCAAAAATTAAAATGCATGTACCTGTGATCTAGCAATTCCACACTAGGGACTTACTGTATGGATTTACACTGGTTGAAAATGTCATTCTCAATGGTATATTTGTTGCGAATCATTATAATTCTAAAACAATGGAAACTACTTTACAGTTCCTCTGTTACTTGTTGATTAGTAAATCTGGAGACATACTTTCAGAAAAATGTTTTGCTATCACTAAAATTAAAGAGGCACCTTTCATTAATATTAATATGAGACATTAATATAAGACATATTAGTAGGGCTGGGCATTTAGCTCAGTGGCAAGCACAAGATCGTGAGTTCAATACCTGGTATTAAAAAAGAAATATTAGTATCAGACAGTAATATATGAGAACATCTCCAAGGTGTATCATAAGTACAAAAGTTATAGAAAGAATTAGGATTACTGTCACTGAATTTAGAAAATAATGAATCTATGCATATGGTATTATCTACCTATGGAAAATATTCAAAATAAATCATTATCCTGGTCACATAAATAGGTACCTGCATAGTTTAAGTGAGAAATGAAAGAATAATCACCTTCATAACTCCTTTTGTGCTTTTATTTGTATGAATTTGTTGCTTATTTAAATAAAATGTGTATAATTATTAAAATTATAAATGAAATAATTGATGGCTGGGAAACTTCTCCTGACAGGATGACAGTATTTGATACTACAGAAATAGCATAAGTCAGCTTGCAAGAAAGTCTGCTATGACAACAGGGAAATTGTACCAGACATGCATCTGGTTTTGTTCTGATTAAGACCTTTCAATAGAGATTTAAAGTCTTTCTATAGTGTATGTTCAGATATGAGATATTGACTGGAATAGTCTTTAAATCTGCTTCATGATTCTAAAGATAGAATATTAGAAGGGAAGTGGTTCTTCAGGACCAACTCAACAATTTAGGAATTTTTTCAGCTCTCTGGTGAGTGATCAAGACTTGTAACTAGAAAAAAAAAAGGCTTGTAAAACTAGAACGAGCTCCTTAGAATTCCTAAAGTCAGGTGTTTTCATTTGACTCTGGGCCTCATGGGTACTCAGGTTTCATAAAGGGCCCAGCCTGCTTCCTCACCATGGATCCTTCTATGTGCCAACCTCTGCTCCTCCTTATGACCTTGTCTTGGTTAATTTTCTCTCATTGCTGGGGCAAAATATTCACCACCCAAAATAAAGAAAGGAAAGGCTTATTTGGCTCACTGTTTGTGGAGTTTTCAGTCCATAATCAGTGGGCTCATAGGCAGGGTGGCATGGCACAGGCAGCAGCTAGCAAAAGCAGCTAGAGCAAAACAGAGAGGAGAGCAAGCCTCTTTTCCTCCCTTATATTGTACACAGGACACGCCCACTCTCAGGATGCGTGTAACACTCACAAAATCTCCTTGCCTTCCTCTTGCACAGGATGAGTATATTTAAAAACCAAGAACCATGGCTTCCTGCTGAGTCTCTCAGTTAAGCTTCTAAACTTCTCAGGTTGACAGGATACATCAACCATAGCAGGCCTCCTTTGTGTCACTCACTGAGACTACATGTGGGGTCTCTTTGTGCTGCCATTGGGCCATATAGTCACTCCTACCCTAGATCTGTTTTCTTTTTTTTTTAAATGTAATTGTGTAGTTGAAAAAGCCTCTTGATCTCCTTCTGATCCCAAGTATGTGGTTGTCCTCATCACTTTAGCTTAAGTGCAAACCCCACCAATAAACACCAGCTGTTGGCTGCTTAGCCATACAAAATGACTTACCCAAAAGTCCCCATTTGCCTTGTCTTCACTGTAATCATCAGTCTCTAAGACTCTCAATATAAAGGATACAATCTTAGGAACCAGCACAGAAGGAACTCACTGAAGCAGAAGGCACATGCACGCTGCTCTGTAATTACTGCCCTCTTCTCTTTGAGGACTGGACATCTCATGCGTTCTTTGCTCCTTGAACTTCTTACTCATGTTGACTACCCAGGTATGAAGTCACCATAATTATCAGTTCCTAGCACTGTTATGATATTTAAAATAGTGAGGAAACTGTCTTAATCCGGCAAATCTCTCACTTTAGTTTTTCTATCAGTTCGGGCTAGTTCTGCTGAAATGATACCATGCCTTTTATACAAAGATCACAGTCTCACTGAAAATGGTTCCCAGAGACTGACAGGATTCTGCAAGGTGTCCACAGACCCATCAGACAGCAATTCATGACCAGTCCTGATTTCCTTTTTCAATCTAAAGTCCCAAGAGCCCAACCTGCTTTTTTTTTAGGGTTTTGAAGTAGTGATGGTCACTTGATAGTCTCTCCAGCGAAGACCCTGGCAAGAGAACTCCTGCACTGAGCCAGCACTAAAATATGTGCTGCCATCCCTGACAGGAAGGCTGGGGATGTACTGCATCCAGGTGTTCTGGTGAGGACAATGAGAAGGTGGGATAAATTCTATTTCCCCCTCACATGGAACCAAAAATAGGCACATGAAATAGTCAAAAAGGAAATGTTGAAGTCAAAGCTGTTTATACACCAGGAAAAGATCACAAATGGAAGACAAAACAATAAAAGCGGAGTTACATACATGAGAAAATCCCTTTGGCATTTTTTACAGAAATAGGAAAAAGATACTAAAACTCATGAAATCTCTGGGCTTTCACAGGAAAAAGACTTGAATACAAGAACAATTTGGTGCCCAGCTTCTTTTATTGGATCCTTTATTAGTGGTACATCACCATTCTTATGTAATTTTAAAAAGAGATTTACTTAACATGCATCTCAAGAGGTCCAAGGGCACTGAAACTGTAGCTGTCAGCTGTGCTGGGGTTTCCAGGCTGTGTCACAACACAGTGTGAGCATTTTATCATGATCACATGCCAGAGGAAGAGGTCAAACAGAGACAGGAAGCAGGAAAGAAAAGTCTTCCCCTTGGGTCCTACTTAAACACTCCTCACCTCAATACTGTGTGCTGCCTCAACTCTTGTGGACACATTCACACCATGTTGACACCCCAAACACTTCGTGAGTTCAAAATATAGTACAAAACTAGAAGTCAAAACCAGGATGAACAGCATAAAGACAAATAGACTAATGGGACACATATGAGAATCTGGTAATAAACCCTAATGTACATGATTGAATGATGTATGACGGGGTGTGGAGACCACGCAACAGTGAAAGAACAGTCTCTTCCACTAGTGGCGCTGTAAAAACATAAAGAAGGAAGCTGGATACTTCCCTATGTGCACATAAAAATTAACACAGAGTAGATTAAAGACCTCAATGTGAGACATAAAACTATAAAACTCAGAGGAAACGTTTCATGGCACTGAGGTTATGAATGATTTTTTTGATATAACACTAAAAGCATAGGCAACAAAATGAATAATATGTCATGGACTTCTACAATTTAACCAAAAGAAAAAAAAAACCCTAGAAAATAAGTGCAAAGGATGTGAATAGACAGTTCTCCAAAGCACATGCACAAGTGGCCAGAGCGCATTAAAAGGTGCTCAACATCTCTTGTCATCAGAGACACACACCTCAAACCCTCAGTGCAAAATCCTCTAACACCAGCAGAAGACAAAGGTGTGCAAAAAACTGGAAGCTTTCTCTACTGCAAATGTTAATGTGAAAAGATCTCCTTGCTATAGAACATAATACAATGGCTTCTTGAATTACCACATGATCTGGCAATCCCACTTTGGGATTTATATCCAAAATAATTGAAAAAAGGATATAAAGAGATATTTGTGCACCCAATCTCACTGAAGCATCATTCACCATAGATAAGAGACTGAAGCAAATCAAGTGTTTTAATGTACTAAATGCACTCTACATATCTGAAATTGAACTGAATTACTCAGTGTTAAGTTTCCAGCATTCCCATCTGCCATCTTTGCACCCTCATGGTATCCAGTGCTCCTACCTTTCTCTCCTCTGTAGGCTTCTGCTTTCATTAGGAGGATGCAGGTTGATCTCCACCTAGAGTAAGTTGGGTCAGGGAGGTGACTGTGTGAATTCTCACATACACTTGGAAACTGCAGAGTGCTGGGCAATCAGTACATGCAAATACACACACACACACACAACACACACACACACACACACACACACACACGTACTGTGGGTTTTTTGAGCATGAGTCTTGGCTCCATTTTTCATGGGAATCAGTAAGCCCAGCTGAGTGAACAAGTCCATGTTGCTGTGTTCTGTGGAGCATGTGCCTGAGAAAAGCAGTTTATTACATGCTTCCCTGAAATCCCAGAGCACTAGGAGGCTGAGGCAGAGCATCACAAGTTCCAGCCCAACCTGGACAACTTAGCAAGATGGTGTCTCAAAAACAAAAAATAAAAAAGGCTCTATGCACAAGTACTGGGTTTAAATCTCAATATAGTAAGAAAGATGAGAGAAAGGAAAGGAAGAGAGGAAGAAAAAGAATATGAACGAATGAATGAAAGAAAGTTAATTTACACATGAAATTTAGTCTATCCTTAGAATACAAAGATTTAGAAAACTTACTCAAACAACTAAATATATGTACTAAACTGAGAATAAATTTGACCTGTGACCACATTTTAGAAGATATATTGTGCTACAAACTAGGTAAACAGGCAAGGGAGGAAAAGTGGCTTCTTCACAGCAAGTAGTTGCCTGCTCCCTTAGTATGGTGCTAGGCAATAAGCTGTTACTTTAATAAACCGCAAACCACTGAACAGAATATTATGGCTTGACAGACTGCTATAAAAATGTATCACTTACATTTAAACTGCACCTACTGATCTGAAAAATGCTAATAATAGTCCCTACATCATAAGCACATATAAAAGAAAAACTCATTAGTAACGCAAAGAGTTTAGTGTACCAACTAATGTCTGTGACACAGAGTAAACACCACAGACAATTTACTTTGTATTACCACTCTCTCTGGCTTCATGGTAGTCAGTGTACTGAAATATCAATGTGATGAAAATAACTCAGTAAGAACCAAAATATCTCTGAAAGCATGATGTTTTTGCCCTATGAATTAAGCTGATGTTTAAAGCATGAGTCTACCATTTGGAGATGATGCAGAAAGCCTAATAAACACTTAGGAAAGTGGAAGGAACAGACCGCAAATGTTTCCAGAAGCAAAATTCATAATATGTTTCAAAAAGCTTTGAAAAAAATCATAGTTTTTAACCAAAATAGTCACTTTCACTGTTTTGATTCAATCAATCAACAAATATTTACTAAAACCTTATTGTGTGGTAGGCACTATTTTTGAAGTATGAGGAATTTAACATTCAAAAAGAGATAAAAAATAATCTCCACATCCACAGAGATAAGTTCTGGCAAGCAAAAAAACCTGTTAAACAGATGGAATATGAAGTGACCACAACTTCTATACAGAAATGTGAAGTAGAGAAGAGTGAGAGACAGCAGGAGCTGACAGTTTAAACTATAGTAATTTTACATAGGAATCCACAGCCATTGGTTACCGTAGGAATGGCAGCCATTAAAGTTGTATTTCAGATAGCAAGAGGCAGTATGGTAACCATTGTTGATCACTTAGTATTTTTTTACATTTATCTATTATGTTCGTCCTTCTGATTTGACTGACTCTATTCTGTTATGTCACATTTGGTTTTACTCGCTTCAAAAAAAAGTAATAAGAACTGTAGGAGTAATAAAACCCAAAATGTGTAATTGTCATTGTACAAAAGAAAGGAAAAGAAAGTGCTCTAAAGACTATAACCACATATATATTTAAGTGTATAAGATAGATAACTATATTACTGAGTTTTGTTGGATCATTGAACAAAACTGTTTCAGTCTCACTGTTTGAAAGTCCACTTTATATGCTTTAACTTTGTAACTTGAACAACTATTTCTAAGATAACAAAATGTAATCTATTAACTAGTGATTTCCTATTGTTTATTTTTCTGAAATTCTGTACAACTTGTACCCTATTTCTGCTTTTTTTTTCTTTTTCTCCATAATAAAAAAAAAAAAGTTGTATTTCAGCTGAGACCTACGGGTAAAAGTTGATAAGTCACCTGGGAAACTGGGAAATAGCACAAGAAGTAGAAGGAACAAGTACAAAAGTCCTAAGGCAAGACCATACCCAGCGTGTTTCAGAGAAGCCAGGAGGGGCAGTTTTAGGTGAGAGAGGACGAATCCCACCACCTTTGTACCCCTCTTAGAAGGAAGTGGGTTTACCCTAAGCAAAACATCATCTGCCTGATATGAGTGCAGGCCCTCCCTTGAACTGTCTGCCACAGCCACAGAGGGTATCAGACGTGGGGTTTAAAGGATATGTCAGCGCATCATATGCAGCTGACACCATCCGCCCCACCACTACATTGTTCATTGTGCCCTTCTTTAGACTCAACTATTTCAGTCTCCAATATAGTGCCAGCTATATAAAGGACACATTACCCCAGCTTGTGGCACATGCAGTCACTGCAAGTTATACCAACAAAGTCCACACTGACCTTCTTCCCCCTCCAACATCCATTCCAGGTTTCCTCCACTCGTCATAGCCAGAAACAGGCATCTCATTGCATCAACTAACAAAGTAAATGATGCATAAAAACAAATTGGGCTGTATGCCAAAGTCACTCCTTCAATAAGGCTGCCTACCCCTACATCCAAATACAGAATGTGAAAGATTCTTAAGGGTTCAAGAAATTCAAGTGCAGAAAGGTCGGTTATTTTCTGGTGAGAAAGGGGATGAGCACCCCTCAGCACACTCACTCACCTGTTCAATAGAGAGTGTACACGCCCATCATCTCCACTCAAGTAATTGCTGCCTTGTTACTTGACAGGGTTACACTGCTGCCCCCCAATGCTGTTCCAATAAGTTGGATCATCCACAACTTATTTTACTTTGTTGAGTAAAGAGAGACAAGTGATCTTCAGGTGGAAAAGATTGTCTCAGGGTTTTGTGTAATAACTTCAGCTCTTAATAACTATCATCTGATGACTAATTGCCTTTTCTCCTGGGAAATCTAAATAATACAGTACAATTTGAAGTCTAGTTTACTTGCTTAACAATTCAGTTTGTACATGTAATTTTGATTAACTTGTTTGAATCAACTTCCAAAACTTCTTTCAGTAGTGGGGTTTGGATCTAAATCTTTTCAATGAGCTAGATTCCCTGTCTTTTCATTACTTTTTGTTTTGAATGAGTTTTTGCTAAGTCACTAAATTGACTATGATGGGCTCAAACTGTGATTCTCCTGTCTTAGCCTCACAGTGTGCAGGGATTACAGGCATCTCCTGTCATGCCCAGAACATAGAAATTTTTAAAATATTTTTCATAAGTAAAATAAATAATCACCCACATGCACCACCTCTTAAAGGTTACAGAATATTTGAATAACACCACAATGAGTTTAAGGCCAGTAGAAAATAAGGTTTTGGGGGACACATCAAGTCACACTAAATCACAGCACTCTTCCCCTTTACTTAAAAATTTTTGTTTTATTGGTACTTTTTGATATACATAATAACATTCGTCATAGAGAATTGTAGCAGTACATGACATACCTTTCCTTCTTTTTTACCCATTCCCATTCCCTCCCTTACACCCCTCTTCCTTTCATTATTTACAAAAATTTTGTTTCCATTTTTTCTTTATTCCATTTTTTCCTTGTTCTTTTTTTCCTTTCTCCCTCATCTCTTGTTTCTCTTTCTATTTGAACATTTTCTTCCCATTTCCCAAAATCTGTTATAAATTTTGGCCCCTGATTACACTTTCAGTTTCTCATACCAGAGAAACCATGTGATATTGGAACATGTACTTATTTCACTGAGGAGTGTGGTCTCAAGGTGCATCCATCAACTAAAAATGTCTCAAGCTTATCCTTCTTCCTCTGACTTCTATTTTTCATTGCAAAATAGAGACAATAGTTCTTTTAAATGATTGAAGTCAGGACTGATTTTATAACAAACACAGGAAATTTTATGTAATAATCAACAAGAAAAGGCAATAGTTTTTACAATTATCCATTCAGCAAACAGAGGCAGCAAAGTGAGGTGGTTCAAAGATTGAGATCAAGGATCCTTGGATTCAGATTACTTAGAGTGCTTTGATTTGAGACAACTGATACAGCCTATCTGTGCTTCAGCTTCTATAAACTCATGAGAAATGATTACCTTGAGATTTAAGATGCATAATCCATGTGCAGCAACAAGCCCTGCACCCTGTGCACCTGTACAATGAAGGGAGACCCTCCTGCCTGTGTAGTGAGCATCAGAACCAACTGCTGTGTGCACCTGAGAGAGTATTACATGCCCTTTCCCTTACTGCATTACTAAATAACCAATTCCACTGTGAGAGACACACTATTTTTAGGAATTATACTTTAAAAACAATATGAGGTCCCTCCATTCCAGTACATTCAAGCTGACCCCTAATCTTGAGAGATGTTCCATTATATTTTACATCTAAGGGACATTTTTAGAAATAATAAATAATCTCTATGATTTCATAGAAACATTTGAAGTGTGTTAAATTGCTGACCATATTAATGTTTTTGGTTGGATCATTGAACACAACTGTTTGCAGTCTCACTGTTTGAACGTCCACTTTGTATGCTTTGATCCTGTGATTTGAGCAACTATCTCTAAGATGATAATATGTAATCTATTAACTGGTGATTTCTTACTGGTTTTTTTTTTTTTTTTGTAGTTCTGTATTGCTTGTACCCTTATACCGCTTTGTTTTGTTTTGTTTTTTTCTCTTTTTCCTTTTAAATAAAATTAAAAAAAAAAAGAAACATTTGAAGAAACTTGATAATAAGTCTTCTTAAACCTTCCCTCAGGCACAACTACAAAAAAATGTTTTATGGTTGTTGGACTTTTTCCTGAAACTAAGTTCTTTCAGTTTCACATTCCTCTAAAATTATCACAAAGCTTGCAGGCTTTCATTATGTGGTCACTCAGGCAAATACAGAAACCTGTCAGCATTGGACAGTTATATAAAAGCCCAGCGATACAGCCAGAGGCAGAAAAGAGAGAAGTCAAGCCACCTACCTTGAGGAGAAGATCAGGTAGGACACTGCCTTCCCTTTGGTAGCCTCTCTAGCTCTAAAAGAGCTCTGCTTAGGGACTGACAGCTGCTAAGTCTGATGCAGAGATAGGAAGCTGTTTATAAGGGATGGTTATTTTTCTTTAAAACTATCAGCACTACGAAAAGCTGGAGCTTTAGATGGGACAGGGGGCCAAATGAAACCCAGATTTTATTACAGTGTCAGATCCCCTGGAGCTTGTGTCAGGGCACTGGCAGACAGGGACATGAGTTCAGTTTCTTTCTATTTGTTGACTTTGTGTGGACCTGGAACCAGAAAGAAAACTTTCTGCAATAAAGTCCCTAATGGACTCTGAAACGAGAAAGAAAACTTTCTGAAATAAGATTTGGGTTGTGGGAGCAATTGAACATTGATTTTTTTTAAATTATTACGGGGCTGGGGATTTAGCTCAGCTGCATAAGCGTCTGGTCGTGAGTTTGATCCCTGGTACCGATAGAAACGAAAAAGACAAAAAAAAAAATTGTTACAACTTTTTAAAGTGAACATCTTTGATAATATTTTCATAACTTCCTGAGATGATATGAGTTTTGCCTCATGTGTCTTGTTGATGCACAACAATACTTGTTCGTTCATGCTGAGGAATTCTATGAATCTAATTTGTTAGAACAAAGACTGCAGATTGTGACTCTTTCCATCCCTTTCCTTGCAGACAGAGCACACACTGGACATGGCCTCCCAGATCCACATGCCAGCCCCAGTGTGCCTCATTGAGAATGTGAAAGGGCAGCTGAAAGTGAATCAGGAAGCTCTGAAGATCCTGTCTGCCATCACCCAGCCCGTCGTGGTGGTGGCTATTGTGGGCCTCTACCGCACAGGCAAATCCTACCTGATGAACAAGCTGGCTGGGAAGAAAAGAGGTGAGTGCCACCAGCAAGGCTCTGCTGAGTCCTCTGCCCACCACACTGCCAGTATCCCACATTGGGGAGGGGAGGAGAAGAGAGTCAGAGAGGACCAGTGCAAGCTAATCTGCCCCTCAGTGAGCTTCAGATCTTCACTGTGTTCTAGAAGATAAGAATGGGTCACCGGCTCCAGTCACTATGCCTTAGCTTCCCCTGGAAAGCATAAATTCTTATTTTTCTTAAAAAAAGAAAATAGTATGGGATTTAGCTCAGTGAAGTAAAGTGTCTGCCTGGCAAGCACAAAGTTATGAGTTCAATCCCTGGTACCAAAAAAAAAAAAAGGAAAACAGTAATGTGTATAATTAATTTATGTGATAATAAACTGTAAGATTCTTATTAAGGCATTCATATAGTAAGAGCCATTTTCCACTCACTTTTGAAGTTAAAAAGTACTTCATTTGTATTACATATTTTTCTATTGCTTGCAGTTTACGTAATATACACTTTGCCCTTTTAAATATTTTTAGGTGATCATTTTTTGGCACTAAGTAAATTCACTTATTTGCAAAGTCTCCACTTCCTTCCCTTTCCAGAACAATCTCCTCCTCCCCCAAGAGGAGCTCTGAGTCCATTAAACAGCAGGTTCCTGTGAAACATCCCCCACTTTCTCTATGAATTTGACTAGTCTGCAAACATCATCCAAGAAGGATCAGACAATATTTGTCCTTTTATGACTGTTTTTTTGCACTTATTGTGATGTGTTTAAGTTTTCAAAATGTCACATTTGTCAAAATTTCCTTCCTTTTAAGGCTCAGTAATGTACAAATACTGTATATCGATCTATTCATCAAGTCATCTATGGACACACAGTGGCTTTTTTTACTTTTTTTGTTGCTAGGCATAATGTTGATGTGCTCATGGATGTAAAAACATTGGTTTGAGTTTATGCTCTACGTTTTTCCGGGTGTATACCCATGGATAGGGTTGCTGGATCACATAATAATTCCATTTAATTTCTTGAGTAATCATTATCTATTTCTCATATTGCCTGCACCATTTTATGTTCCCACCAGAAATGTAAAAGTGTATTAATTTCTTCATATTCTGAAATTATTTGTGATTTTCTATTTGATTTTTTTCACTTACTTTTTTGATGGTGGACATTTGGATGGGTGTAAAAAAAGTTTCTTATGGTTTCAATTTACATTTCCCTTACAGACTAATCATGTTAAGTATCTTTTCCTGTGTTTCTTGGCCATGTGAATATCATCTTTATACAAATGACTATCAAAAATTTTGTTCACTTTTAAATCTGTGTGTTTGTATACCATTGTAGGAACTTGATATATTCTTAATATTAACCCTTTATCATATATGTGTCTGTCAGATATTCTCTCCAGTTCCATAGTTCCACATGCTGCTTTGTTATTCTATGAAGGTAAACTTTGATGCAGAAATTTTTCAATTTTGAAGAAATCTAATATTCTCTTTATTTTTCTTCTGTTGTCTATGCTTTCACTTTTTTCTTTCCAATGTTTGTGCCTTCTGTTTCCTTTTCTTTTCTAATTATGCTGAATAAGACTTTCATATCAGTGTTAAATACAAGTAGGCCAGACAGTTTTTTCTTATTTCTCATTCTAGAGGAAAAGGTTTCACTTTTGTGCCACTGACTGTGATGTTGCCTATGAATTTTCATAGATGACCATTATTGTGCTGAGGTAGTATACTTCTATTTCAAATTTCTCAAATGTTTTTGCAAAACTGGGACTATGAACCCCACAAGGACTAAGCTGCATTCCTGCATCCTCTCTCTCTCTGTGTGTGTCTCTCTGTCTCACTCTGTCTCTCTCACTCTGTCTCTCTCTCTGTCTCTCTCACTCTGTCTCTCTGTCTCTCTCTCTCTGTCTCTCTCTCTCTGGAATAGTGAGGACTGAACCTAGAATATCAAGTATGCTTGGAGAGAGCTCTACCACTGAACTAAATATCCTGACCTTTTTTAAATTTGAGTTTCACTAAGTTTCATTAGGTTGACCAGGGTGATCTAAAGTGGTAATTCTCCTGTTTCAGCATCCTCTGCAGCTGCTATTAGAGATTGGTACCAATATGCTGACATGATGAATGTTTTTCTTATCATGAAACTCAATTTTTTTCTTGTATCAAACAACCTAATCTTTACCATTTGTTTCATCATAAGTAAGATCAATACTGACAGTAGTTTTTATACTCTCCTAAAATTTATTATACTTTTATCTCAGCTTCAGGAACACTTATTAAAACTCTACCCGTCTCATCTTCTCTGTGCTTTGCAGGCTTCTCTCTGGGCTCCACTGTGCAGTCTCACACCAAAGGGATATGGATGTGGTGTGTGCCTCATCCCAAGGACTCAAAGCGTACTCTGGTTCTGCTTGACACCGAGGGCCTGGGAGATGTTGAGAAAGTAAGCACTGAGGATTCAAGTTTGGATTAGCTCCTTATGTTGGAATATTCTCTACAATAAGCAGTTTTCACTTATACAAGAGATTGTACTTAAGGATAATATATCTTTTCATTTTTTGTTTACATTTCAGAGATTTAAAATAGCAACCAGAAATCAGAGAAATATTCATGACAGAATCCCACCAAAAAACAACATAGTCAATTTGATGTTCTAAGCATCAAAAGAAATCTATAAAGGAAGCAAGTTATCCTGTATAGAAGAAAAAGCACAAATATACTCAATATCAAGTTTTTTTCCACTGCAAACTCTAAGGATTCAGGTGTTGCAGCTTAATGACTTTGTGCTTAAATTATAACTCAAGTTCTAACTCATTGCACCTAAGGAAATAATTTGAATCCCTTTAGCCTCAGATTCCTTATGTGTCCAATGCATGTAATCGCTTTATATATCTTCTAGTATTGTTTTGAATATTTAATAAGATAAATAATATTTCTGATATATAATATTGCTCTAAAAGAGCTACAAGTATTATAAACGTACATTTATTTATTTATTTAAGTAGCCCCAGGGATTGAAAAGTTGGGCACTCTAATCTGGCTTATGTTCCCAGCCCCTTATTTACATATTTGTTTTTTAATTGTGAGAAAACATATCACTAAATTTCCTAGACTGACACTGAACTTACAATTCTCCTATCTCAGCCTCACATCTAGCTGGATTAGAAGCATGCACCACTACATCAGGGTCCACACCTCTTATAAAGAAATATTGCTATTAAAAAAGAGAATTTTTTTTCTTGGTACCGGAGATCGAAGTCACAATTGCGCACTTGCAAGGCAGATGCTTATGCCACTAAGCTAATTCCCCCGCCCTAAAAATGAGAAACTTTTAAGTTTAAACTTTCTTTAAGACCTAAGACCTGGCCGCGCTTGCTCTCTGTCTAGCTCTGACTATCTACAGCAGTAACAGAAAGTGGACTAGCATGGTGACTGCAGTGCTAAGGTATCCACTGTTGATCCTGCCCAGAATGCTAGAGTTGTTCTGCAAAAATATATAATAGCTGATTGGTGAGTCCATTTAACACAAGAAAATGGAAACTGAGCAGCCACAAGAAACCTTCCCCAACACTGAAATCAGTGCTGAATTTGGTAAATGTCCTACAGAAGACACAGAAGAGGAGCAAGCATTTAAGAGCTCTAGAAACACTGATGAGATGGCTGAGTTACAAATTCTACTTCAGAGCAAGAAAGCTGGGGCAGTAACTGGAAAAAGGCAAGAATATAAAGACTGTACAGACCACAGTGCTAGTGGTTCAGTCCCAGACAGCAGTGGTCCTGACCACATATTGAATATCACCAATGTGAGTATTGACCACATACTGACACTAAAACAGGTGTAGTCATTCTGAAGAAAATCATCCCTACTTTGGAAGGAGGCCTGCAGCTGTCACCTACAACTAGCTCCTACTTCAATCTGATGCGATGGAATGCTTAAATTACCAACACAATAAAGGAAGTGACTTTGACTGCAAGTTGATACTGTTACCTTATAAAAGTCTGACAGGAGGAATTATTGGGTCAAAGTGCTAAAATCTAAGAACTTTGAGAGAACACTCAGACGACAATCAAGCTTTTCTAGGAAGGCTGTCCTCATTCCACAGATAGAGTTGTTCTTATTGGAGGAAAACCTGATAAGGTTGTAGAGTGCATAGAGATCATTGTTGACCTTATATGTGAGTCTCCCATCAAATGATGTGTGTAACCTCAACTTTTAGGATGAAACTTACAATTACGGTGGTTTTATGATGTTTGAGAACTGCTGCAGATTTCCCATTCAGGGAAGAGGTGGTTTTGACAGGCTGGGTGCCCGTGCCTCCCTCTGGAAAAGAGGTGGTTTTGACAGGCTGGGTGCCCATGCCTCCCTCCGGAAAAGATTCTGATTCCATGAGCCCCTCACTGGGGACCACTACTCCTTCCTCCTGGTTGAAGTGGTCAGGGTAGTAGCAGAGCTTGGAATCTTCCTCTTCTACCACCACCAGCACATAGAGGTGGCGATCTAATGGCCTATTATAGAGGAGAAAGACCAGACAACCACTATGTTGGCATGGTTTCTTTCAGTGTTGATGACACATGGAGCCCATCAGAATGTAAATGACATGCACCACAGGGTGTCTCTGGATATGATTATTCTTTTTTTTTTTTTTTAATTTAAGGAGAAAAGAAAAGAAAGAAAAAAAACAGTGAAGGGGTACAAGTTATACAGATATGATTATTCTTGGTGGACCTATTATTACTACACAAGTAACTATTCTTAAAGATTTGGCTGGATCTATCATTGGCAAAGGTGGTCAGTGGATTAAACAAATCCATCATGAATTGGGGGCTTCTATCAAAACTGATGAGTCTTTAAGAGGATCTGAAGAAGGGATCACCACCATTACAAAACACAGGGCCAGAAACAGAATCACAGTATTTGCTGCAGAATAGTGTGAAGCACTCAGCAGATGAAGGATTCTAATGGAAGACATCTCTTGTAGTATGAAGCAATCTCTTTCTTGAAGAATGAAACAGTATTCTAGAAAGTTTTTCTAAGACTAGTACAGAACTGAAGGAGTTGTGCGTCTTTTTTTTTTTTAATTGCTTCTGTTTAAAAAACCAGCTTTCCTCAGCTTCATAAGTGTTCTGCATTCAAGGTGTAGCGAAATCTTTGCTGTTCTCCAGATGTAACATTTCAATTCCTTTCAACAGGGTTGGGTCAGGGGGTAGCACGTGCAAAAACTAACATTGAAATTTTAAAACAGCAGCAGAGTGAATGGATTTTTTCCATTATTGGTGGTTTAAAAATCTTTCTGCCCATGTAATTATCGTGAACACCTCACTTTGTGTGGTCATTGAAAACATTTGTGAGGTGGGACAAAGAGGAACGTAACAATAGTCCCTGGAATCTGTTCAAAGCACTGCGCAAAATGCAATGCTCTTTTTAAGAAGTGTTTTATGGTTTTAAAAACAAATTTAGCAAGCCTTAAAAAAATCTAAGAGCCTTGACTGTTTTTCAGTTGTTGCCAAGAATCATAAGAGGACCTAGAGGGAATCAGTGTGAATCAAATATTAATCAAAAAATATTCAAAGTTCATGTCTTATAGACAATATTTTTATTTGGATTTGTTTCTATGTAATTGAAACTCCAGTTAAGTGATGATATTTTTGCCTTTGCTGATCTGCAGATTGACAGAAGAATAAAACAGTGTCCAAATGTGTTCTGACTTCCAGGGTGACAACCAGAACGACTCCTGGATCTTTGCCCTGGCGATACTTCTGAGCAGCACCTTTGTGTACAACAGCATGGGAACCATCAACCAGCAGGCCATGGACCAACTGCAGTATCCTTTGTGTAGTCCAGGAGGAGAGACCCGTGTGAGTAAACCAGCCACATGGCTCTAAGCCCTGGGACAGCCAGCCCAAAAACAGAAAAACAGCATTAATTCAAGTCAAGAAACACTCATCATATACTTACTAAAGAAATCACACTTCGGTTAAGAACAAGGATAAAATAAAAGCTTGTGGATTTGTTAAATTAGTGTGGTATGAATGGCCCTGCTACTTTTGCCAGTTTTCCTTAGCATCTCAGCTATGTGACTGAACTGACAGACCGAATCCGAGCAAAATCCTCACCCAACACGAGTGAAGTTCAAGATTCAGCTGACTTCATGAGCTTCTTCCCAGACTTTGTGTGGACACTGAGAGATTTCTCCCTAGAATTAGAAATAGATGGAGATTCCATTTCTCCAGATGCTTACCTGGAGAATTCTCTGAAGCTAAAACAAGGTAATATGGAAATAACTGCTAAATGGAAATATCAAGACATTAGAAATTATCAATGTGTACTTTTCTAATTATACTCTCTAAATTTAGAGCTTTCTATTACTTCTACCTACCTACACCTGGAAATTAATGTTTAATATCTGAATTAAGAGATTCAACTTTAAAATACTTTCTCCCTTGTTCAAAGACAAGGTTTTTTTACTTTTGTTATGATTAGTTTACATTTATCTTTCTGTTCCTCATGTGTGATTCTGCATTTATCCAAAGAATATGGGGTGCAGTGAATGCATATTTGAAGAAAATAGATTAAAGTAGTATAGTAGCCCAAGTCTTGGAAAAGTGTGGCCCACAGACAAATGCTAACTAATGAAATCCTTTCTCTTTTTTGAAATAAATATTATTAGGAAAATATTGAGCCCATTCATTTATATATTGTCTACAGACGCTGGTAGGCTATAGTCAATGAGTTAAGTGCAGAGTAAAGAGGCTATCTGGCTTTAAAAGCTGAAAATATAAACTATTTGATTCTTTACAAAGATGTTTGAAAATTCTTACAGCAGGTAAACCTCTTTTTGTCTTCTTACAGGTACTGATGAGAAAATTAAAAATTATAATCTACCCCGACTCTGTATCCGCAAGTTCTTCCCAAAGAAGAAATGCTTTATCTTCGATAGACCCACTCACCGAAAGAAGCTGGCCCAGCTCGAGACCCTGCACGATGATGAGCTGGATTCTGAATTCGTGGGGCAAGTTGCAGAATTCTGTTCTTACATCTTCAGCTATGCCAGGACTAAAGCTCTTCCGGGAGGCATCCATGTCAATGGACCTCGTGAGTACCCTTCCCACTAGTTTCACTCATTCATAGCAATGAGGAGCAAGGAAAAAAAATGAATCTAGTTTCAGTATCAGGCTTGCAAATGTACTACTATTCCATTAAACTTTACATGGCCTCAAACTTTCTCTTAGATTTTGTCAATTACATCTCTTAATGGGAAAAAAAGAAGAAACACCTAAAGGAAAACAAAGATTATTGCTTTAAAATTCCATAAGTAAACTATACCTCCAGTGTACAGCATGATAGCCACAAGAAAAATATGGTTATTTAAATTTAAGGATAAATTAATTTAAATGAAAAAAATTTAAAACACATCTGAAGGATATATTTCAAGGGCATGTATCCTTCTGTATCTAACGATTATTGTATTCTCTTAAATATGCTGATCATTTTAACAAACCAAATCACAATGGCTTTTGATCGGAATAGCATTTCTTTTTCTATGAACAATGATCAAACACTTACTGTTAACAGGGATGATGATACAGAGATAAATGAAAACAATAGAATTCCAGAACTAGTGGCACATAAAGTTAAAATGGATGGAAAATTACAATAAACAGTCCTACATAATATATATCCAGTAATCTCAATCTTTAGTGTACATACACATCACCTGGAGGTCTTCTGAAGAGGAAGGTCAAATTCCATATGTCTGGGAAGAGACTGAGGGGCTGTATTTCTAGTAAATTACCAACTACATTGGTAATTATACTAATAACACTTGAGGCAAATAGGAGGTATCTGACATGCTCAGAATTACATACAATGGAGAGTTTTGTCCATTCTACCTATAACAAGCATCATCCCATGCTCCCTATATGCAGGTCTAGAGAGCTTGGTACTGACCTACATCAATGCCATCAGCAGTGGGGAACTGCCCTGCATGGAGAATGCAGTTCTGGCCTTGGCCCAGATAGAGAACTCAGCTGCTGTGCAGAAGGCCTTGGACCACTACAACCAGCAGATGGGTCTGAAGGTGAAGCTGCCCACAGACACCCTCCAGGAGCTGCTGGACCTGCACAGGGCCTGTGAGAAGGAGGCCATCGAGATCTTCATCAAACATTCCTTCAAAGATGTTGACCATGTATTTCAAAAGGACTTGGCGGTAGGTCATTTTTATCTTGAGTATGTTAATTTAGATTAGAGAAGGAAAAGTACTGCAAGGAAAGGATAAAGTATTCATTTTAAGAAAGGAAATTATACTAGGTTTTGAAATGGTGTTAGCTACCTATGGATAATCATAATACTAAGAAGAAAAATTTTTTTATTATGGACTCAAACTTTCAAAACATTTTTTCTTTTATTAATAGCTAATAATCTCATTATTATAACTATATACATTACTAATTGGAGCTTCTATTCAAATTATGTGTCTGCTGTTATCATATAGGTTTGATATTTAAGAAAAAAGCAAAGAAAACATCTAAGTTATCAAATGAAGGCTTATATTGAGGTATATTTATTCCATGGGCAACCATTGATCTAATGTGAAAAATTAAAAGTTTACTTATAAAGTATGACATAATGCTAACAGTTCCTGCTTAGAAAGTAAATTTTCAAAAATTTTGAATTTACAAAGAAGCTTAGTAAAAAGTTGGAGTCATAATCTTTTTGAGAAGTATTCCTGGAAACTCTGGTCGCAAAATATTCTCATTCCTTTGCTATTCTTTTTATTTCTTATTTTTGTATTAAAGGCTCAGCTGCAAAAAAAACGAGATAATTTTTGTGAACTGAATACTAAAAAATCTTCAGATTACTGTTCAGCTTTACTTCAGGATCTCTTCAGTCCCCTAGAAGAAGAGGTGAAACAAGGAATTTATTCTAAACCAGGGGGCTACCATCTCCTTATTCAGAAGGTACAAGACCTGAAGAAAAAATACTATGAGGAACCCAAGAAGGGGATACAGGTAAGCAGCATTGCTGTGTTGCTGCACCAGTTTCCAGCATCAGTGTGACCAACCATAGTTACTCAGCGATGTGCCTTTCTATCTATGCTACGATCACACTTCCATTCAGTAACATTCATAAGAAGCCTTTTGTACTAGACCTTCCCTAGGTATTACTCAAGGAGAGCACACCCAATTAAAAGTTGATGACATTTTTTCACTGTCTGTCACCCTCCTGAGCCACATTTCCTTAGCTTTCTTATTACTTCCACATCCTTCTCTGGACTGTTGTCTCCCTGAAGGCTTCATTCTCCAGCATGATTAGCCTGAAAAGACCACAACACCATTAACTTTACACCTAAAAACACAAGTCAGTTTTACCACCAGCTTTCTATACAGAACATTGATTCTTGGGGCGCAAGATAAGGGCCTTACTGGGCAGCCCAGAATGTGTGCTTATTTTTACTAACAGAGAATATTGGCCACAGGATTTCATGGATTAGGAGGAAGAGTTCTTACAGGAAAAGCTGACAGGAAAAAGACAGAAATGATTGCTTACAGTCACTTCTTACTGTTAACCTTGTGGTTTTTGGTTTGGAAGGCTGAAGAGGTTCTCCAAAAATATTTGCAATCCAAGGAGGATATGACTAATGCCATTCTACAGACAGACCAGACTCTCACAGAGAAAGAAAAGGAGATCGAAGGTGAGGAGTAAGTCAGGAGGCTACCTGACTTCAAAAGCTCTGAAAAGTTTACATAATTTAAGTAAATCTGGCATTCTTAAACTAGAACAAGAAGAGCAGAGATGTAGCTTATTTTCCAATGCAATCAGCAACAATAATAAATAAACATATGGAGAGGAAGGAGGCGAAGCAACACACTAACCCGCAGACACGTCTCTCATTCCTTTCAGTTCAACGTGTGAAAGCTGAGTCTGCAGAGGCTGCTGCAAAAATGATGGAGGAAATGCAAAAGAAGAATCAGGAGATGCTGGAGCAGAAGGAAAAGAGTTATCAGGAGCATATCAAACAGTTGACTGAAAAGATGGAGAAGGAAAGGGCCCAGTTGATAAAAGAGCAGCAGGAAATTCTAGCTGTTAAACTCCAGGTATTCAGCTGCACCGTCTTGAACTTTCTTGTTTTTCCTTTTTTCTCCATTCTCCCTGATCAGAAAAATTGGCAAGGAGACCACAAAGCCACCAAAAGGACCTTGTACATACTAATACTAGACTCCTGTCTGCTTGCCTGACCAGTCTGCTGGCCCTGTCTAATTATTAAGTTTTTGCTTGCATTGCTCCCCTATCAATAAATATATCCTTTGATTAACGGAAGATTTGTCTGCTAAGCATCATAAACACGTTTTATCTGTATCTCTTGCACGAGAATATGAAAAGAGAACTTTTTGCCTCATACAAGAAACCCGGGTTCAGAAAACCTTTCTTGAGATCACCTAGTTGACGAATTATCTATCTTTGCAACATGATTTCTTTTTCAGTCTGATCTGTTATGACTTTAACTCTGTAAGAATCTTTGTAGGAAAAAATCTCTTCAACCTTCACCCAACTTCCACCTGCTTTCTCTGCTTGGTCCCATTTTCTGTTCACCTGGGAATTATGTGCAGAAATATTCTGGACTTTGATTCCCTTGCCTGTCATATGTCACTTCTGTACCAAGTTGTGAAGGCTTAGCCCAAAAGTTGTAAACTAGGATCAAGACATTTCATCTGAATCTGAGACTATTTTAATTGTGTATCAAGTATATATGTCACTGGGGACCCAGCCAGAGCTTTGAATCTGAGCCACAATTAGCTGGATTCATTGTACTATTCATACTGGGAGCATAGGATGGCCAATAAAACTGGGACTATGTACTTATGCACAGCTTGGCTAAATCAGCAAGACAGCTAAACTGCTTTCATCCAATGTACAGAAGTGCTTACTTTATAGCAGGCATAGAGCAAAAGCCAAAATGAAACTCGATTCAGCTATTACATGGGCTGCCATTGGGCCTGGAAATATGTTTGAAGTCATGTTCTGCTGAAGCCATTTTGGTGTCAGAACTGGGAATGAGGAAGCCAAGAAAATGGTTTCGTATTAAGATTCTAATTTTGAAACTCCATTTCAAGATTCTCTTTCACCTTCCCCATGGTCTGCTCTTTTCCTCTATCTTGAGGGACTTGGATGAACTGCTATCTGGGTGTATGTATCTACCCAGAAATCAGCTGAAGCATAAGTAGCACTTCAATGCTCGATTCTAACAAAAATGCAATTAATTATTATGGAGCCAAACACAAGACAGAGACAAAGTTAGCAAAAGAGTCAATACTTCCACTTACTGGAAAGATTTTTACTTTTAAGCAATCATGAGGAAAAGTCTATTTCTTGTATGTGACTGTTTACCGTGATTCCAGGAAACACAAGTGATTCCATATTTAACGTCAGTTTCTTCTCTTGTTATTATATGCACTCTCTTCTTCTTTGTTTGTTTCCTTGTTTGTTTGTTTTTTGAGACAGGGTCTCACTATGTAGTTTCCGACTGGTTCCAAATTTGTGTCAGTCCTCTTGCTCAGCCTCCCAGAGTGCTAGAATTACAGGCGTGAACTACTTCACCCTAGCCTCTGAATATGCAACTGATAAACCATGTGTAATTCAATCCCTTGTCATTAGGATACAATTTTTTTGCTTTCTTTATTTCTGTCTGCTGGGCAATCAAGTCCCATACTTGGAGGAAAATAATATAAATAAATGTTTAAGCCTCTTAAAAGTTTTGTGACAATTGAGCAGGCCTGTTATCCCAGCACAATGGAGGATACAAGGTTTGAAAATTAAAATCTAGTTTGGGCAATGTAGTGACACAGTGTCTTAGTGAGAGCCTATCTCAAAACAAAATTTTTTTTAAATGGCCAGAGATATAGTGCAGTGACAAAGCCCAGATTCAGTCCTAGTAATGGGAAAAAAATATTTAGCCAAATTTGCTCAACAAAATGGTTTAGCAATTTAACCCTCACCTAGATTAAGTTTTACTTAGAGTATGTAGTTCAGTTTATGAGGCTGTAAGTGACAATCTCATAAAACATCAGAATTTTGACAGATTAGTTACAAAATTTGCAAAGAAAATAGAAAAGAAAAGCAAATACTGCTTGTATCTTGCATTTGAACTGGGAAATGTAAACTTTTTTAGTTCTACAGTTTTTCCCCCAGGATATCAAAAGGAACCATTGTGTTTATGAAACAAGTTAGCTCTGAAAGAAAATGTATGTAGGAGAATTCTTAGAGGTGTTTTGTTTTGTTTTTGTAGAAGCAAAGGAGAATTGCAGTTTATGTAAAAATTACATCCTCTGCAGGTTTTTCATTGGTTTTGTGTTTCAGTTTGTTTGAATTGGGCTTTTTTGCTGTTTTTTTGTTTGTTTTTGGTTGGTTGGTTGGTTGATTTTTTGGTTTTGGTTGCTAACACATTGTAAAAGATAAGTAAGACCTCATGTATCTTAGTTTGTTTCTTGTTGTTGGGACAAAATGCCCTGCACCCACAAGTTAAATGAGGAAAGATTTATTTTGCTTTCTCAATTTTCAGAAGTTCCTGTCCATAGTCAGCTGGCCCCAAGACAGGTGATGTGTCTAAGGGGCATCACAGAAGACAAACAGCCCATGGCAGTGCAGACAGGAAGCAGCATGCATCAGCCTCTTCCCGTTTTTTATTCTGTGCAGGTTACAAGCCTATTGGTTGGTCTCCTTCATGGATAGGTCAGGCCTTTCCACTATCCACATCCAGAACTATCAGTGGAGTAATCCAGTTATCACATCCTTATTCCAGAATCTTATACCCATGATCCAAACACCTCACAAATGCCGTACCTATGAACACATGAGGCTTTAAGGAGGCATCTAGGCATAAAGCATAACAGCATGTTAAGAATTATCTGAAAAATTGTAAGTTCTTTTCTAATTTTTTTTTTTTTTTTTTTTTTTTTGTACCTGGGATTAAACTCATGACCTCGTACTTACAAGGCAGGCACTTATGCCACGGAGCTAATCCTCTTGAATTTTAGTAATGCATAATACCAAGAATCAGAGTTTAGTGATTAAGCTGTATTTTTCTTTCTTCTTTTGATAGTGACAATACTTTTAAAATTTCTTGGATATACACAATAGAGCTCCAAAAATTTTGGATACAGAATATGCAAGTTAATGTCTATTTACCAACTAAGGAAACACATATCATTCATCATGCTGACTTATCAGACTTTAAAGTCCATACTGCTTGCTATTCAACTGAAAGACTCAGTGGTACCTGTCATAGAGGGTAAAAAAGTTCTCCCAGGCATGATTTCAAAGACACTTAATGGAAGTCCAGTTCAAGGTGTTACTTGTATGTGGTGAGACAGAGACAAAACTTTTCTCTATCTTAAATAGATCTCACAACAAAGTATAATCAGTGTTGTTGACAGTACTTTTGAATCATAAAGAAAAAGTGAATAAATTAGATTTCACCATGAGATAACTTTTGCTCTGCAAAAAATACCAGTAAGAGAAAAATGATTTACCATAGACTGAAAGGAAATATTTTCAACTCACATATCTAACAAAGAACTTATACACAGAAAATGTAAAGACTCTGCTTATTCCACAGTAAAAAAAATGAAATAAAATTCCAGTTGAGAAATGGATTAAAGGACTGAGAAGACATTTCACCAAAGGAAGTAGATGGGGGTCAGAAATGTACATGGAAATATGATCAGCATCACCAGGCATTGGTAAAATGCAAAATAATATGCTGTTGAGAAACAACTACCTGCCTAGCAAAATGGGGAGAAATCATTAGTTATTTCCCCCTACAGCTACAGGATCTCCACACTCAATCTAAGAGTCTTTGTTCCAATGCCAACTGTTGAGAGAAATCTCCAAGGAACCCTTTGATAATGTTGTTATGCCTTTCCAACCAACATGGTCAATCCTTGACCATTTATCTGCCCTCTTCCAACTTAGTATAGGACTTTTTAAATACCTATTTACCTAATTCGTGTGTGTAGAGTCAGTCTCTACTTATTGGGACAGGCATGTTATCTCTTTGTTGGTGATTACAGTGAAATGAACAACCAATAAATCTGTCTCTCATATTCTGTCCTTCCCCAGGGAATCATTTTCCCCATAGATCAGACTAAATGTCCTCTCATTATTTGGTAACCTCTTACCCTACTTACCTCATTTCTTCTAGTAACCTGGATAGTGTGGCCATCTTTAATCAGGCAATTCTTATTCTCTACTTACCCTCCACTTTGAGATCTCAAACACTTCCTGAAAATAGTCTTTCTTGTTTTCTCTTCTTTACAGCATCCACCTGAGTGTGGTTATTCTAGGATTCTTTTCTAGTCTTCCCATGGTCTTATCCACAAATCTCTTCTGACTCAGAGCTTTGTCAACTACAAACAAAAAATATGCTTACCCAGAGAACCCCTGGCTTCCTATCTGGATATAACTGTATTTGAGTGATCTCCTTGAAACTATCCTGTAGACCCCTCACACAATATGTCTTCACATATCCTTAGATTATTTACTGGGGATCTCATACCTATGTAGGTCCTCATAGCTATGAACTTCTTTCTTATATCTGCTTTTATTGTATTCCACAGATTCTGTTAGATTTACATTAGCTTTGGACTAGGATTTTTTAAAACTTCTTTCCTGATTTTTTTCTGTGGCCCAATGATTACTCAAGTGTGTATTAGTCAGTTTATGTGTCTGGATAGTTTCTATGGTTCCTTTTGCTGTTTTCTAGTTTTGTTCCATTGTCATCTAGTAAGATAAAAGAAACTATTACTGTTCTTTTGTGTTAATGGAGACACACTTTCAGGTCTAAAATATAATTTGTATTGGAAACAGTTCTACGGATTGTTGAGAAGAAAGTGTAGTCTGGTATCATTAGATGAGACTCTATACTGAACTGTAAATCTATTTGTTCTATGATATTGATAGGCTGTAATAGTTCTATTTTTTTGTTTAGTTTTCTTCTCTGTTTGTGGAAGGTGAGGTATTGAAATCACCCACAATATTTGTATTGGTATCTCTCTGCCCCTTCCTGCCCCTTCACTGATATGTGAAACACTTGTCTCTCCTGAACAGTTTTAATTTATCAGAAATTATTAATATTCCATTTGTCTTTTATAGGAACAATCCAGACTGCTAAAGGAGGGATTTGACAAGGAGAGCAAACAACTTCAAGAGGAGATAAAGCATCTCAAGAACAATATACCAAAGTCATCTGGATGTATCATACTCTAAAGACATAAGGAAACAAGCTTTCCTGTCACCCTTCTCTATTCATGGCATAGATAAGCAATTTTATATTTTGGAACAATAGTCATTGCAGTTAATGGTATTTAAGTCTTACAACCACAAAAACCTGCAAAGACATGAATACAACATTTGAAATCCACTTCATCTTTCTTAAATTATTATAAATTTTGCACCACTAATAGATTTTACCGCTGCACACTTTCACAAAATACTAGGTTCCAATGTCGTACTTTAAACCTGCATTGAACTTATTTTGATGATACTAAGACCTGAATTATTCTTGTCTACACCTCCCTCTTTTTCCCATCAGTTCCATCCATTTTCTTAAGGGAGTGACTATAAGTGCCACACTGTTTTCCACAGTCATGTGCAGCTCCTTCCAGCTGGACAGTTACTTGTCCCTGACCCATGACTGAACCTTGAGGTCCTATTGACCTACCAAAGCGTGAATTGAAGAGATGCATGTATATCCAAGCAGAAGATTTTAAGAATTTTTTCCCCTAAAATTTAATGGATTTCAAGTAGATACTGTTGCAGAGAGCTCTTCAAAACCCTGGTTTTAGTTTTTTGGGGCAAATATAAAGAAGTGGGGTGGGCAAATTATACATATCTTTTCTTTAAAATATTTAAAAAGAACCTTTGTACTTTTCCAGAGCAGTTACACAATTTTACATTCTGAACAGGACTGTACAAAAGTTCCAGTTCATCACATCCTCACAAACACTTGTATTTTTAGTTTTCTTAGTACTTGTTATCCAAATGAGAATGAGGTGATACATTGCTGTTATAATTTGCTTTCCCTTGATGATGATGATGATGATGATGAATAAAGTAAAGTATCTTTTGACATGTTTCTTTGATACTTTTGTCTTCTTTGAAGAAATAGCTGTTCAAGTCTAAGTTTTTAATCAGATTGTGCTTTTCAGTATTGAGTTGTGGAGGTTTCTTACATGTTTGAATATTAATGCGTTGTCAGATAGAGTGTGTGCACACATTGTTTAGCTGACTTCGTATTCACTCTATGGACTGCTTGCTTTGCTGTGCTGACAGTTTAAGCTTTCATACAGACCTTTTTATTCCTTTATGCTTTCATTTACATCTCTGAGAAATCACAGCAAATACTGTCACAATATTAGTGCATTTTTATGGCTATTAAAACTATAGCACAGATCGTGTGAGTTACAAAGAAAGGTTTACCTAGCTTATGGTGCTGAAGGTTCAAGCATTCACATCTGGTGGTGACATTACTGTTGGAAGAGTGCCAAAGTGGCACCATGTGACAAGAGACAGTGAGTATGCACATGCATGTGTGTGTGTTTTCTCTCTCCCTTTCTTTGTGAGTGACTATGATTTTACCACTTAGGCTTCACTCATATGATCCTCATAAAAAATAATCATCTGGAAAGCCCCTATCTCTAACGACTATATTCAAATTATGTTTTGATTTTTTCAGTAGCTTACAATGCGATTTGAAATTTCAACATATGGAGTCACTTAAAAGCCACTTAAACCAAACAGCAATCAAAAAGCTATTCCTTACTTTATCCTAGCAATTTTACAGGCTTAAGTCTAAAGTTCAAATCTTACATCCATTTTGAATTCATGTTGTATATGGTATACTAGGTGTCTAATTTCATTCTGTTGAATGAAAATATCTACCTTACTAGAAATCTTACATAAAGAAATTGTCCTCTCTTTGTACTACATCCCTGGGGTGGTTGTCACAATCACCATTATCTCTATATGTGACAGTTTGTTTCTGAGCTTTCTCTTCTGAACCATTGGTCTTTAAGGCTGTTTCCATGAACGTATATTGTTTAGATTACTGTAGATTTAAAATATATTTCAAAACGAACAAGTATGATGTCAAGTTTTGTATTCCCTGAAGATTATTTGGCTAAGCAGAGCCCTTTGACTATACAGTCTACATCTAATTCTTTGCTTATGTATAGACTGTATATTCATGTATTTTATAATCTTTTTCTACTTTATAAGATAATACTCACTTTAATTCACATTCTAAGCATGAAACAGAATATACACCCTGATTAAAATGTTATATTATCTTTCATGATTGAATAACAGTACCTACTTTTTAAAAACGGAAATAGAGACAATTTTTTTTCTGGTACTGGGAGTTAAACTCAGGGCTACCAGTTTTGTAGTCAGGCATTGCAAGGCGAATAATTACATACATGACTCAGAATGTATAGTATTATTTTATGAATGTCATCCAGAGTTAAGCACAGGAAAATGCAGGAAATCTGCCCACAAGGCTAAAGGTCTAGAAAATTCAGCTGAGGGTCAGGATCCCATAGCAATGTCCTGCATAAGTCCAGTTAATGACCTAAAGAGCCCATTACAATGCCCCCCATGAGTCCAACAGGAGACCTAGAGCCCAGCACAATGACTCATGCAAGTCCGTTTTATAGATTGACACTGGGAGCGCCTACAGGTCCATGGTGGAAGCTAGAAAGACTATGTTAACAGGGTGAAGAATCTGTGCTAGGAGGTTGAGGATTTTATACTGGAGCCAAGAAACAATATCTCACAGTTTTTCCTTAATTATTTCCTCCTGCAGTTTTAATATTAAATCTTTTGGTTTTCAATGCGTTTTTTGAGTTTTGTGTTAGTTGTGACATAGGGATGTAATTTCCATCTTCTGTATATTGATGACCAGTGTTCTGGGCACTCTTTGTTACAGAGCTTGTCCTTTTTCACAGGTACATTTTGGGTCACTTCATTGAGAATCTTGGGTTTTGTCCTGTGCCTTCTAATCTTCTATTCCAATTAATATCTGTGTTTGATTTTATACATTCATTATGTTGGTTTAGTCACTATGATCAGTAGCATATTTTTAAATAAGTATCATTATTCCTCTGCAATCACTTTCTTTTTCTTGGAGTTGCTTTAGCCATTTGAAGGTGCTTTGTGTTCTAGTTCTGTGAAGAATGTCATTGATATTTTGATGAGTACCCTATTGAAACTGTAGATCACACTCAGTAATATGGCTATTCTAACAGTATTAATCTGGCAGCTCCTGAATATGAGCCCTACTTTTATCTTCTACTGTGTTCTTAAATTTTATTTTTCTCCACTGGGTTATTATTTTAGAGATGTTTCACTTCTATAGTGGTTTGGATTCCTTATTTTATTGAAGCTAATATGAATACAAATGTTGTCTTGATATTTATCTCAGCTATTTCATTATTAGAGCTGAATTCTTTAGGGGCCAAAAGTATCTGGCTTTGTGGAAGCACTGCTGTCACTTCCTTCTGGGTCCCTAAATCTTTCCCTATGTCCACAACTGATCTTCTGGACAGGGTATTTGGAAGCTGGGGTGCTGTACCGATTGGGCACTTCAAACCAAATATGAAAACCACCTATGATCATAGTATACCTGTGTAAGGAGTAGTAGTCTGTGCTTCCCTCCTCAGAGACCCCCAAACTCTGATAATTTTCCTGTGAAAGTGTCTTTTGGAGCCTGTGGCTGATAGACAAACAGTTTAAAACTGAGGTGCCACCATCTGTGAGTAGACTTCAGTCTTAGAACAGATAATAGGAAAAAAAAAACTCAACAAACCAAGCAAGGTGTGATCTAAAGTTCAGCATGTCAGGTTGCTATTAAAATCTGATCAGGTCAAGGTGAGGCCATGCTGGAAAAGGGAGGGAGGAATATGCTTAGCCTGGCTGAAAGTGTTATCATCTCCTTAGCCAGAGGACCAGGGGACTGAGTCCCAAAGTGGACCACTTTTCTGCCTCAATCACAGTATGCACTACTATAGGAGGGAAATCATGGAGATCAGAGCAGAAATTAATGAAATTGAGACTAAGAAAATCATACCAAAGTATCAATAACATGAAGATTCTTTGAAGGAATAAATAAAATATACAAACCTTTAGCCAAATTTACTAAAGAAAGGAAAGAGAAAGAAAGGAAAGAAAGAAAGAAAGAAAGAAAGAAAGAAAGAAAGAAAAGAAAGAAAGAAAGAAAGAAAGAAAGAAAGGAAAGAAAGAAAGAAAGAAAGAAAGAAAGAAAGAAAGAAAGAAAGAAATTTGGTAGAAATGAAGATTAGAGCAGCTACTTTAGAATTCAGAAAGGAAGCTTCTCAAAATCCAACTATAATACTAGCATGGAATCCAAATATAACACCTCTTGGTGGGTATCTGAGCGGATTGAAGTTAGTGTACCACACAAATGTCCCACATACCCATTTTTATTGCAGCATAACTCTAAATAACCAAGTTTCTGTGATAACTGAGATCCCAGATGAGCCCTCAAATGTGATAACTCGAACCCTGGAATAAAATCCAAGGAAGCAAGAAATTAAAATTTAGGGAGCAAAGGCTTTATTTTAGGCCAGGCCTGGCGACACAGCCTCCAGGAGCCAATTTGGAGATTGCACCTGACAGCTAAAAGGCAGGGCTTTTACCTTGTAAAAACCACAAACAGCTGCTGGTCTCATAACGCAAGGAGGGGGATAGGGATGTGGCATACTACAGAACAGGAACCCAGTGATTACATTGGGAAGAGCAAAGTTCAGGTAACAAGCAAGTTTTCCTGCAAACAAGCAAGATTTCCTGCAAACAGGAAACAATCCTGTTTGCCTCACCAGAGAATAGAGAAGTCTAGCAGCAATTAGCAAACTTTGTTAGCTTATTTTAGCACCACATCTGTTATTTGTAGAGGACAACAATGGTTAACATATCAATTAGGTAAGATTTTACAATCTTTACAGAGGGGAGCATTGATTAAAATATCAATTAGGTCACCCAGAGGGAATAGGAAAACACATATACAGTAAGGCCACATTACAGGTATTTTGGTATGATACAAATATAATGAAGCCATTTTTCCTAGAGTACAACATTTCCATCAACAAATAAATGAATAAAGCAAATGTGGTGTGTGTACATATGGAGTATTATTCACCCATAAAGCAAAATGAAACCATTTTATTTGCAAAAAATGAAGGGGACTGAAGATCATCATATTAAGTCTCACAAATAAGTAAGTCTCAAAAAAGTATCACCTGATTTCCCTAATATGTTGAAACTTTAAAATGATGTGACTGTTGAAGAAACACCATTAGACCAACGGATGGAGAATTGAGTTGGTAATAATGAAGACTCTATGTTATCAAAATATTATACTCCTGTATGAAAATTTCACAATGAAGAGCAACATTTTCTAATACAATTGTGGACTACCAAAATACATACAATGATAAAAAACAGTGCTTATAACAACTTTTTACAGAGTAACCAAGAAAGTAAACAATACTCAAGTATTCACCAACAGGTAAGTGGATAAATGATAGAATAATTATAGAGTCTAATAAAATTCATAAAAAGATTAAATGATAAATAGCTACATAAAGCCAGGTGTGCTGGCTCATGCCTGCAATCCCAGCAATTGGCTCTTGAGACAGAAGGATCATTGTGAATTCCAGACCAGCCCAAGCTACAAAGTGAGCTCGAGGTTAGCCTGAGTTGCATAGTTAGACCCTGTCTCAAAAAAATAAATAAATAGGTACATAAAAATATAAAATACTTAGTATCTTTGAGTTGTGTATTATCAGGTTATAGTATCCATGACTCCCTGGTTGGCCTCCTACTTCCTTTATTACAGTAGATTAGCACCTGGCTCTCCCTTTCCTCACCACTGCAGTATTCTGGCTGTCTACCTGTGAGGCATCTAATATGCAGTAGAGGCAGATCTAGTCATCCTTCTCCAGGTTCCTTACCTACTTCTGCTCTGCAGTGTTTCTGTCATCTTACCTCAGCCTGAAACCTTTCCTTACCAGTAACTATACCAGCTTCGTAATTTCAACATCAAGATCCTCC